AAGCAGAAGCAGAAAACAAGCTTGCTCCCTCCTCCCTGTGGCTTCCTCTCACATATTTATACATGGCTATCATATCTCCTCTCAGCCTTCTCTTCTTCAGGCTAAACAAGCCCAGCTCCTTAAGCCGCTCCTCATGGGGCTTGTTCTCCAGACCCTTGGTCATTTTAGTCGCCCTCCTCTGGACACATTCCAGCTTCTGGAGTAAAACAACTACTTTCAAAGTAAAGACCACCCAATGAAACAGGAAATAACACTTTTAAACCATTAACAAAAGGATACAGAAGTCTTGGAAGTTTCGAAAAGTTTTGATAATTTTTTTCTGTGAAAATTGAAATTGACTTTAGAATCAAACCACCAGTGCCCCCTACATCCGAAAGGAGTTTTGAACAATTTTTCTTGTGGATCAACCAAACCTAATAGGAATTGCAAACCAACAGCAATTGTGGCACTGAGGTTGGAGAAAGGTAAAAAATTAAATAGGATTTTTAAGCCAGACATCCTATGTACAAGCCTTGCCTCCAAATCCAAACTGCACTCTTTTGACTAAACAAACGGCAGCTTTCCAGTTGTTACTGCATCACAACTCCCATCTGCTCCAATTATAATGTCTAATGAACACAGTATTTGATTTTTTTAAAAAGAAAAAAAAACACATTCCCCATTTTTTTAGAGGAATACCTAGGTTATTTATGTTTTTTCCAGTTACCCACCATCTCATCTGAGCCCAATCCAGGCACCATTGTGGTGAGGCTCCGAAAGGAATAGTAGAGGGCTGCCGGCTGTCCCCGAATGTTGAGGGTCTGGTGGAAGAGGCGCAAAAGGTCCTTGTAGTGGGGAGCAAAAAGCTCGGGGTCCAGTTCCAGGGCAGAATGCAGGAGGAGCAATCCTACCTGTCGCCAGAAGAGGGTGAAAGAGGGATTTCGGGTTTAAATATCTTCTATACTCGGAAAGAGCAAACTTCAGCCCTCCAGGTGTTTTGGACTTCAACTCCCACCATTCCTAACAGCCTCAGGCCCTTAAGCAGCTGAGGGGGGAAAAAGGGGGCCTGAGGCTGTTAGGAATGGTGGGAGTTGAAGTCCAAAACACCTGGAAGGTCAAAGTTTGCCCTTTCCTAGTAGATACAGTAATAGGAAATGTGAGAAAGTTGGGGGGAAAGTCTAATTTTCTGACATGCCTTGATTGGAGCCTGGAAGGCTTACCCATCATCAGACTGGTGACTGACCATCATTTGAAGGCGTGTCCCTTATTTGATGTCCTTATCACTTATAAGGCTGACAATATTAAAAGAGATGTCCCCAGTTTGAGAGTTGGAAAGCTTCTCTTTTTATGCAAACTGGCAAAAAAAATAGTATTTATGGGAATGGGCCCTTCATTAAGACAGAAATGTAGTCATTGTGTCATTTCTGAATGTGGAAAATATGACAAGAAAACACGAAGGGGATCCTAATCTTTACTGACACTTAGTTTTGAGTGAGAATACAAACTTTTTAATGGCTAACTTCTTGATATTTACGCAAAAAGTCATGCATTTCGATGGTCCCTTACTATGACAACACTTGCAGGGGTTTAGAAGTATTTCAATCGGTTCTGGTGTTATTTTCTTTCTTTTTTTTAAGCAGAATACGTTGAATCTCAGCGTTACCTGGCACTGGATGGGATCCCGGGAACGGGCGCCTTGTTGGATGACATGAAGCAATTGAGGCCATTTTTCCAGCGTCTCGTTCTTCAGAATGACAGCGGCCAGCTGGGCCAAGCCTAAGGAGACCTTATGGCTGGAAGAGAGGTTTCAGGTGGTGGATATAAAGAAATAATAATAATAATAACACTTTCTTTATATTCCGCCCTTCTCACCCCGAAGGAGACTCAAGGCACTCACAGTACATATACAAACATTCAATGCCGCTCTGTAAAGACAATACACAGACAGACAGAACAGAAGGAGGTGGTTTGTTTCAGCTGGATTTGATGCCATAGAAAGCTGGGCTCGAGACCAGGGGGTGCTGTTGCTCTATCCTCTATGACAAAGAACCGTCAGGACTTCCGACTTCCTTTTAGTCGCCCAGCATTTTCTGATCTTCTTTCTTTTATGGCATCATAAAACACCTTCCCCACTTTTAGCGGTACCTAATTTCTCTAATCACAGCTAAAGCTGTTTTCAAATTGCTTAGGTAAGCAATGAGCTAGGCTGACAGTTGGCAGCTCATGCCAACCCGAGGCTTCAAACTTGCAACCTTTTGGTTGATAGATCTTATAATTGCTGATGATTTACCAGCTGTGCTAAACCTCCGGCCCAATGAAACAGCATGAGCCCTATCATATTCAATACTGGGTTTTAACTTTGCTTTTGACAGTGTTTCTTAATGCCTAAATGTAGATGTTCCTATTCTGACATTTGTACATTTTTTGGTGCTGGGCATTGACTGTAATATGTGAGTGTGTGTGTAGTCTTCCAGGTGTTTTGGACTTCAGCTCCCAGAATTCCTGACCATTGAACAGACTTGAGCTTCTTAGGCCCCTTCCACACAGCTGTATCAAATCCACATTGAACTGGATTATATAGCAGTGTGGATTCAGATTATCTGCCTTGATATTCTGGGTTATATGGCTGTGTGGAAGGGGCCTGAGAGTTGGAGACCCAAAACCTGGAGGGTTGCAGGCTGAAGAGGCCTTGTCTCAATTATATTTCCCATGGAATTCACCAACTGGCACAGTAAAACACAGGCGCATAGAATCATAGAATCAAAAAGTTGGAAGAGACCTCCTGGGCCATCCAGTCCAACCCCATTCTGCCAAGAAGCAGGAATATTGTATTCAAATCACCGCTGACAGAGGGCCATCCAGCCTCTGTTTAAAAGCTTCCAAAGAAGGAGCCTCCACCACACTCTGGGGCAGAGAGTTCCACTGCTGAATGGCTCTCACAGTCAGGAAGTTCTTTATTAGATGCTAAAGATATATGCATATATATATATAAGCCCTTATTCCACTTACCCCACAATGCCCCCAACTTAGTGACTCTCCAGAAAGAACAACCATGCCACCTCCAACACAGCAAAGGGCCTCTAAGTGCAAAGACACAAGACTATTGTTCTTCTGTGCCTTTAAATTGGGTCTGGCTCACAACAGGCCTATCACAGGATTTCCTTGGCAAGATTTGTTCAGAGGGGGTTTGCCACTAGTTTCCTTTGAAGCTGAGCTGCTTTGAGTCTCCTTGTGGAGACAAAAAGCGGGATGTCAATAAACATAATAATAAATAATAATGTATTGTCGAAGGCTTTCATGGCTGGAATCACTAGGTTCTTGTGGGTTTTTTCGGGCTATAGAGCCATGTTCTAGAGGCATTTCTCCTGACGTTTCGCCTGCATCTATGGCAAGCATCCTCAGAGAATGTGACCTAGCCAAGGTCACCCAGTGGGTTTTCATGAATGAGCAAGGACTTCAACCCAGGTCTCCTATCTAGTTTTCAACCATTTCATCATGCTGGCTCTGTAGACAACCAACTAACCCCTTGATATGTTTGCCAAGTCCAAAAACCTGTTAGAAACAAAGGAAAGAATTATATGTGTGTGTATATATATGTATACACACACACACACACACACACACACACACACATATGAATGTATTTAGCATCTAATCAATATGCGCCCGTGTTTTACTGTGCCAGTTGGTGAATTCCATGGGAAATATAATTAAGACAAGGCCTCTTCAGCCTGCAACCCTCCAGGTTTTGGGTCTCCCAACTCTCAGGGCCCTTCCACATAGCCATATAACCCAGAATATCAAGGCAGATAATCTGAATCTACACTGCTATATCATCCAGTTCAATGTGGATTTGATACAGCTGTGTGGAAGGGGCCTAAGAAGCTCAAGTCTGTTCAATGGTCAGGAATTCTGGGAACTGTAGTCCAAAACACCTGGAAGGCTGCAAGTTGAAGAGGCTTGAATTTTTGGACTGTCCTGCTATTTGACGTCCCCAGATTTCACTGTATGCCTCTGCCCTAAACAGTGGCTTCAGCTGGAGACAAGACTAAGATCTCAGAATTTCCTTAGCACCAATCAACAGATACAGTGAAGACATCTGCCCTTGCGCTGTGCTACTCTGCTACTGAGTATGCATGCTCAGTGTGGAACACATCTCACCACGCTAAAACAGTGCATGTGGCTCTTAATGAGACATGTCGCATTATCACGGGGTGTCTGCGCCCTACACCACTGGAGAAATTACACTGCTTAACTGGTATTGCGCCACCTGACATCCACCGGGAAGTAGCAGCCAATGGCGAAAGGACCAAGGCAGAGACATCTCCAGCTCATCCCTTGTTTGGGTATCAGCCAGCACGTCAATAACTTAAATGTAGAAATAGTTTTCTAAGATCTACAGAGACACTCGCTGGAACACCTCAGCAAGCGAGAGTCCAAAAGTGGCAGGCTCAAACCCAGAACCTCAACCAATGGCTGATACCAAATGAGAGACTCCCCCCTGGGCACACAGAGGACTGGGCGACTTGGAAGGCGCTGAACAGACTGCGCTCTGGCACCACAAGATGCAGAGCCAACCTCAAGAAATGGGGCTACAAAGTGGAATCCACGACATGCGAGTGTGGAGAGGAGCAAACCACTGACCACCTGCTGAAATGCAACCTGAGCCCCGCCACATGCACAATGAAGGACCTTCTTGCAGCAACACCAGAAGCACTCCAAGTGGCTAGCTACTGGTCAAAGGACATTTAGTCAACTACCAAACTCACAAATTTTGTATTTTGTCTGTTTGTTTGCTTTGTTCTGTTAGAAATGTAATATAATTGACTGGTTGCCCTGACACGACAAATAAATAAATAAATACCAATGAACAGGAAGAACTTGGAAATTTCCTTTTAGGATTACACCTCCCAGAATCCACACTTAACATGATCACGGCCAGTAAAACAAAAACATGAACTTTTTCAAGCTCCAATGAGGAGCCTTGCATTCTTCTCTCCTTCCACACAATGTAACAGCACAAACATATATCATTTGGGGGAAAGTTCTCAGATGCACACCAAAAGCTTTCTTAAATTATTGGGTGCAAAGTCTGTAACACGCACTTACTCTGTTTCCTTCTGCAGGACGGTCAGCACAAGCTTCTTTAGCCTGCAAGAGACAAGAAGACATGTTTACGATAACTGGGTGGAAAATTAAAGAAAGGCCAAGAAAGAATCACAGTCAAGCTCTTCAAGCTCCCATTTTCTATATTTGCATTTGTGTGGCACCTGTGACCTTTTTCCTGTTTGGGGACTACAACTCCCATCATTCTTCCCCAGCTGAAATGTCGGAGAGAATGATGGGGGTTGGAGTCCTACAAGATTAGAAAGGGCACCGGTTCCCTCGCAGCCTCCTTTTTCAGCACTCACGTGTCCTGCTCAACTGCACTGAGTTTCTTCCAGTGTTTGGTTAGTCGCCTCCTCACCAGCACAGCAGCAAGTTGACGGATCTGAGGAAAAAGCAGAGGATGAGAAGCAGATATATATGAGGGAGTCGGAGGGAGAGCCGCAGGGTCCCCACTGTATGTGTATGGCATCCCCAAGAAATAGTTGCAATTGGAAGTTGAGCACAGAATGGTATTGGAGGACTATGAATGCCAAGAGAAGGAATCACCATGTCTTCCAGAACAACTCTGTGGTAAACATCTGGTTGACCATATAGAGCAGGCATGGGGCCAACTTGGGCCCTCCAGGTGTTTTGGACTTCAACTCTCACAATTCCTAACAGCCTACCAGCTGTTAGGAATTGTGGGAGGGCCCAAGTTGGCCCATGCCTAATATAGAGTCATACTAGGGATGGAGAAATTCACAGAAGGAACATATTAATTAAATCTGCAAATAATCAAATCCACAAAATGTAAACCTGGAGGGCCAACTTTACAAACGCAGGAACAAGGAAGGTTATAGTGGAGACTATGGGTGCATCTACACCCATACAGTTTAACCCCAATTTAACTCCCATTAATACAGTTTGAACCCAGTTTAACTCCCATGGCTTCATGGTATGGAATCTTGGGAGTTGTAGTTTGGTGAGGCACCCGCACTCTTTAGCAGAGAAGGTGAAAGAGTTTGTAAAACTACAACACCCACGATTCCACAACATTATATTATTATATGTTTTATATCTTAATGTTATGCTGTTTATTTTATTGCAACTTGTATTGTTATATTGTAATTCTTGTTCGGGCATGGCCCCATGTAAGCCGGTCTGAGTCCCCTTTGGGGAGATGGTGGCGGGGTATAAGTAAAGATTATTATTATTATTATTATTATTATTATTATTATTATTATTATGCCATGACAGTCAAAGTGGTGCCAAACTATAAAGCCCTAAACGGTTCTCGTCCAGCTTACTTGTCTGAACGCATCTTCCCTTATGAACCTGGTAGGACTTTAAAATTGTCTGGGGAGGCCCTACTCTTGATCCCGCCTGCGTCACAAACACATTTGGTGGGGATGAGAGACAGGGCCTTCTCAGTGGTGGCCCCTCAGCTATGGAACACCCTTCCTGGGGACATTAGATCGACCCCCTCCCTCTTAACATTTCAGAAAAGAGTCAAGACTTGGTTGTTTGAGCAAGCGTTTGAAAATGCAAGGTAAAAGACATAGGAATTGGAACAACTGGACAACGAGATGGGACCATGTTCTTTATTAAGAGACGCAAATAGTAAATAATTTATGTTTTAATATTCTTGTTATGGTTTTATATTATGTGTTAATGTTTTTAAATGTTTTATGGAGTTTTTGGGCATCGAATCGTTGCCACTGTAAACTGCCCTGAGACGCTTGAGGGTTGAGAAGGGCAGTATACAAATACAGTAGATAAATAAATAAACTGCATTAATTCTACTGTGCAGACACTGTATGTGAGAGGTTGGATTACTTCGCTGGCATCCATCATTACCTGACTGGACATGCCCAAGGAAACAATACCTTGGGCGTGCCATAAACACACAGTAGGAATCTTGTGACTGGCACCAACAATATCAGCTTCAGTAGGTTGAAGATAAGAGTTGGTTTCACCATGACTTACCTGTGGATCTTGAGAATTGGACATGACATGGCTGAGATGGGACAACGCCTGAGGTTGCTTTAGGGCCTCCTTTAGCTGGGCTGTGGCCTAAGGGCAAAACAGAAACCAAGATGAAGGGTCTGGCAGTCAAATCTATACAAATTCAGCTGGTATAGAAAGTCACTGGGAAAAAGGCTTAATGTGTTTTGTTCATCATTACTTGTTGTTACGTGCCTTCATATCAAATTCAAGTTACAGTGATTCTATCCTAGTCTTTTCTTCTGATTTCCTCTAAAGCTGACATAAGAATATGACTTGTCCAAGATTGTCCAGTGGGTTTCCATGACTGAGTAGGGATTTGAGTACTTGTCTGAGCCAGTTTTTAGATCAAAAGTACCCAAATCGAACAATATACACCTAGTGCTAGGAAAAGTTACTTTCTGTACTACAAGTCCCCAAATCCTTTAGCCAGCACATGCCTAAACTCCCAAAATCCCTCAGAAAACACCATATTTCATCTAAACGAACGTGTACTTTTTTCACAACTATAATGCAGCTTTACTTTAGATTTGTATTTCACCCATTATAAATCTAAGGCAAGTTAGGAAGTTATTATTGAAGTATAAGTCTAAGAATCCTTTAACCACCATATGTCTAGAGTTAGAAAATAATAATAATAATAATAATAATAATAATAATAATAATAATTTTCTTACCCACCTCTCCTTGCGGCTTGAGGCAGGTTACAGCATAATTAAAACTCATAAACATTGTAAAAAATCTATATACATATTTCTATAAAAGATACATATTAAACATATTTCTATAAAATACATATTAAAATACACAGAAGAGGTTAAACGCAAGACACGAGTTTAAAATTCGTGTTTAAATTCAGATTATATTTTTGGACTCAAAGTGCCCCGAATTCCACTTTACAAGTGATGGTCACTTGTTGGCCTGATAGGTGTCTTGTGTCCAAATCTGGTGTCAATTCGTCCAGTGGTTTTTTTAGTTGTTAATCCCACAAACAAACATTACATTTTTATTTATATAGACTAGCCGTCCCCTGCCACACGTTGCTGTGGCTGTGTGTGTGTATATGTGTTTTGTGTGTATATATTTGTGTATATATGTATATATGTGTGTTTGTCTATATATGTGGTTCTGTGCATGCGTTGTAATGTACTTTTGATCTTTTGTCTTTTTAAGTCTCTTCCTTTGTGGTTTTCAGTGTTTTTATGAGTGATGGTCACTCGGTGGCCTGATAGGTATATTGTGACCAAATTTGGTGTCAATTCGGCGAGTGGTTTTTGAGTTATGTTAATCCCACAAACGAACATTACATTTATATTAACTGCATATACTCGAGTATAAGCCTAGATTTTCAGCCCTTTTTTAGACTGATAAAGCTCCCCTCGACTTATACTCGAGTCAAGGTTATTTATTGTTTTACTCTGTTATTATTATTATTCTCTATTTATTATTATTATTTTCATTTTACTTTATTATTATTATTACATTTATTATTTTATTTTATAATTGTTATCATTACATTTATTATTTTACTCTATTTATGATTGTTATTATTACATTTATTATTTTACTCTATTATTATTCGTAGTAGTAGTATTACATTTATCGGTTAACTTTATTATTTTATTACTATTACATATATTATTTTACTCTATTATTACTGGAAGGATACGTAAACACATGTACATTGAAGAAGGTTAGAATAATGGTTTAGTCAGAGTTGGACAGTTTTATCTTACAGTAAATATTAATAAACAATGAATCTACTGATGCTTCAATTAATGTAATTTTATTGGTATCTATTTTTATTTTGAAACTGACCCGTTGCTGCTGCATTTCCCATCCTTGGCTTATACTCGAGTCATTAAGTTTTCCCAGTTTTTTTGGTGGTAAAAGCAGGTGCCTCGGCTAATATTCAGGTTGGCTTATACTCGGTATATAGATTGTCTTGGTAATTTTATGTGTATGCTGTATAAGTACACCTGATGTTGTTTATTTTATTGTTTATGATTTGATTTGTTTGTTATGTTATGCTGGCATTGAATGTTTGCCTATCAGCTTGGGAGTGATCCTGGATTCATCGCTGAGCTTGGAACCCCAGGTCTCAGCGGTGGCCGGGAGAGCTTTTGCACAATTAAAACTTGTGCACCAGTTGTGCCCGTACCTTGGGAAGTCAGATCTGGCCACAGTGGTCCGCGCTCTTGTTACATCCCGAATAGATTACTGCAACACACTCTACGTGGGGTTGCCTTTGAAGACTGTTCGGAAACTTCAATTAGTCCAGCGGGCGGCAGCCAGATTAGTCACCGGAGCGTCATACAGGGAGCATACCACCCCTCTGTTATGTCAGCTCCACTGGCTGCCGATCCAGTTCCGAGCACAATTCAAAGTGCTGGTTTTGACCTACAAAACCCTATATGGCTCCGGCCCAGCGTACCTGTCCGAACGCATCTCCCTCTACGTCCCACCTCGGAGTTTGAGATCTTCTGAGGAGGCCCTGCTCTCGATCCCACCTCTATCACAAGTGAGATTAGTGGGGACGAGGAGCAGGGCCTTCTCGGTGGTGGCCCCTCACCTGTGGAATTCACTCCCCGGGGAAATTAGGTCATCGACATCCCTCCTCTCTTTCAGAAGGAAACTAAAAACATGGTTATGGGACCAGGCTTTCGGGCAATCTGGTGGTTAGATAAGGAAATGATGACCAGAACCGAGAGTACTTGACATTGTGAAATGAATTTACGGACTATGAGATGGCAAACGCTGAGCATTAGATTGTTTTTATTGATTTTAATGTATGGACTAACTGTGTTAATTGTTATAATTGCTGTTTACATGTTTTATCCATTGTTATGTTTATGTTGGCATCGAATTGTGCCTTTTGTAAGCCGCCCTGAGTCCCCCCTCGGGGGGTGAGAAGGGTGGGGTAGAAATGCGCAAAATAAAATAAATAAATATTTTCTGTTGTAAACCGCCCTGAGTCCCCTCGGGGAGATAGGGCGGTAAAGAAATGAAGTTTATTATTATTATTATTTTGTATGTATTGATTACATTACTTGGAAACCGCTCTGAGTCCCCTCGGGGAGATAGAGCGGTATATAAATAAAGTTTTGTTGTCGTACTCAGAGCAGGCCTGGGCCAACTTGGGCCCTCCAGGTGTTTTGGACTTCAACTCCCACCATTCCTAACAGCCGAAAGGCTGTTAGGAATGGTGGGAGTTGAAGTCCAAAACACCTGGAGGGCCCAAGTTGGCCCAGGCCTGACTCAAGAGAGTTAGGAGTAGGAAAGTAACTTCTGTGGGCCCCAAAAGTAACTTTCCCAAGCTCTGCCCCAAGCCACACCTGTCCCAAGCTAGCCTTTCCTTCAGTTCCCCACATGGGTGGATGTTATCACGCCCCAAACCCTCTCCCTTCCAACCCCCATGCAATTATGATGATGATGATGATTCTGCTGCTGCTCTACCTGTTGGATGATGGCATTGTCAGGCTGCAGCAAGGCTGACAGGATCCTCTCCAGGTCCCCCGTGGCCATGGCGCAGAGGGAGGGAGGGAAGGCAGGGGGAGGCCCCCCCTCCACCAAGGCAGGAGGAGGGGGGAGGAGGGGGGGAGGCGCCCCCAAAGCCAGCTGCGAGGGAAGGGCGCCAAGAGGAGCTGCTGGCAGCAGCAACAGTGCCTTGCCAGCACATGTGGAGACGACGAGTCGCCACTTCCGGCCGGAGAGAGCGGCCCCAGTGCGCCCACTTCCGGCCTTTCTCGCGCCTCCCCCAAACAAGCCACCTTTCGGCCTTCGCTCTGGTTTCCATGGCGACCAGGATTTTTGCGTGGACTAGGCCGCGGCCTACACACAGAGGCGCTTGGGCTACAACTCCCAGCAGGCCCAGCGACCCTTTTAGGGCGAGGTGATGGGAGTTGTATTGTTCCACACACCCCTCAACTGAGAAAAATAAAGGCCTCTACTCAAACCATATTATCACCTACAAGAAGCATTGCCTGAACATCAAACAAAAAGTGGGTGCTAGAAACAAGATCATACGAAAGCTGACTGGCACAACCTGGGGATCACAACTAGATACAGTGAAGACATCTGCCCTTGAACAACTGCACTGCATCCTGTCAGATCCCCAAAATCTGGAGGAAAGCAAGAGTCATTGCCATCTTGAAGCCAGGCAAAGACCGTAATGATCCAAAAAACTACGGACCAATCTCCCTGCTGTGCCACCTCTACAAAGTTCTGGAGAGACTTATTCCGGGCACAATTCAAAGTGCTGGCTTTAGCCTTTAAAGCCCTAAACGGTTCTGGCCCGACCTATCTGTCCGAACGCATCACCCCCTATGAACCAGTTAGGACATTAAAATCGTCCGGGGAGGCCCTGCTCTCGATCCCGCCAGCCTCACAAGCACGGCTGGTGGGTATGAGAGACAGGGCCTTCTCAGTGGTGACCCCTCAGCTGTGGAACGCCCTTCCCGCAGACATTAGATCGGCCCCCTCCCTGCTGGCGTTCAGGAGAAGAGTAAAGACCTGGCTGTTTGAACAGGCATTTGACTAAGCAGTGTGATTGATTGACTGACTATCAGAACACGGAATATTGGATAACGAGTTTGGATTCTGATTTCATTGATGAGACCTGATGGATTTGTTATATTGATGTAGTGATGTATTGATATTGATGTTTAATGATTTGTAATGCTATTGCTTTTAAATGCTTAATGATTTTGTATTGTGTATACCTAAACTGTTGTAAACCGCTCTGAGTCACCTAATAAAGTAAATAAATAAATAAATAAAGTAAATAAAGCAGATGATCTGGATTTTATATGGCAGTGCAGAAGACAATGATAGCCGTAGTCTTACATACCTTATTTAGTGCTCATAAGAGCCTATTATTATTATTATTATTATTATTATTATTAACTGCTTAGAGGTTCATTATTATTCCATATATTATTATTATTATAAATAACAGTATATTCAATAATTGTTGTTGTTCATTCGTTCAGTCGTTTCCGAGTCTTTGTGACTTCATGGGCCAGCCCACATCAGAACTCCCTGTCGGCCGTGGTCACTCCCAGCTCCTTCAAGGTCAATCCAGTCAGGTTCATTATTATTCCATATATTATTATTATTATTATTATTATTATTATTATTATTATTATTATAAATAACAGTATATTTAATAATGGTTGTTGTTGTTGTTCATTCGTTCAGTCGTTTCCGACTCTTCGTGACTTCATGGACCAGCCCACGTCAGAACTCCCTGTCAGCTGTGGTCACCCCCAGCTCCTTCAAGGTCAAGCCAGTCACTTCAAGGATCCCATCCATCCATCTTGCCCTTGGTCAACCCCTCTTCCTTTTTCCTTCCATTTTCCCCAGCATCATTGTCTTCTCTAAGCTTTCCTTTCTTCTCATGATGTGGCCAAAGGACACATACAGCTCTGGCCCAGCGTACCTGCCCGAACGTATCTCCTTCTACGTCCCACCTAGGAATTTAAGATCTTCTAGAGGGTCCCTGCTCTCAGCCTCGCCCTTGTCACAAACGAGGTTGGCAGGGACGAGGGACAGGACCTTCTCCGTGGTGCCCCCCCCCCCCCGCCTGTGGAATTCACTCCCCGTAGAAATTAGATCATCGTCATCCCTCCTCTCTTTCAGAAGGACATTAAAAACATGGATATGGGGCCAGGCATTTGGATAATCTGGCAGACTGATAATGGACAATGACAACTAAAGCTTTGGAAACAGAGTATGATAAGCGGAATGAGTTTATTAATTTATTAATTACGGACTTGGCAAAACGATGGCCACCAGGTTGGCATTTTATTGTATTTTTATTGTATTAATGTAATGTTTTAACTGTTATAATTTATTGTTACTATGTATTTTACTGTGTGAATTGTAGGCATCAATGTATGCCGGTTGGAAGCCACCCTGAGTCCCCCTTCGGGGGTTGAGAAGGGCGGGGTAGAAATACCCGAAATAAATAAATAAATAAATAAATAAATTCATCTTTGCCTCTAATATCCTTCCCTCCAGTGAGCAGTCGGGCTTTATTTCCTGGAGGATGGACTGGTTGGATCTTCTCGCTGTCCAAGGCACTCTCAGAACTTTCCTCCAACACCACAGTTCAAAAGCATCTCTCTTCCTTTGCTCAGCCTTCCCTAAGGTCCAGCTCTCACATCCGTAGGTAACTATGGGGAATACCATGGCTTTGACTAGGCGGATCTTTGTTGCCAGTCTGATGTCTCTACTCTTCACTATTTTATCGAGACTGGACATTGCTCTTCTCCCAAGAAGTAAGCGTCTTCTGATTTCCTGGCTGCAGTCTGCGTCTGCAGTCATCTTTGCACCTGGAAATACAAAGTCTGTCACGGCCTCCATGTTTTCTCCCTTTATTTCCCAGTTGTCAATATTTAATAATAGTGACTCTCTAACCCTAGGAACCCCCGGTGGCGCAGTGGGTTAAAGGGCTGAGCTGCTGAGCTTGTTGACCAAAAGGTCGCAGGTTCGATTCCAAGGAGCGGCGTGCGCTTCCGCTGTCAGCCTAGCTTCTACCAACCTAGCAGTTTGAAAACATGCAAATGTGAGTAGATCAATAGGTACCGCTCCGGCGAGAAGGTAAGGGCGCTCCATGCAGTCATGCTGGCCACATGACCCTGGAGGTGTCTATGGACAACACTGGCTCTTCGGCTTAGAAATGGAGATGAGCACCAACCCCCAGAGTCAGACATGACTGGAGTTAATGTCAGGGGACAACCTTTATCTCACCTACCTAAGCCTTATGTTGTGCTCATAGGAGTCCATTCACTATTATTATTATTATTATTATTATTATTATTATTATTATTATTATTATTAGAAACTGTTTAGAGCAGGGGTCCGCAAACTTTTTAAACAGAGGGCCAGGTCACAGTCCCTCAAACTGTTGGAGGGCCAGATTGTAATTTGAAAAAAACATGAATGAATTCCTATGCACACTGCACATATTTGTAGTGCAAAAAACACTTAAAACAATGCAATAATTAAAATGAAGAACAATTTTAACAAATATAAACTTATTAGGATTTCAATGAGAAGTGTGGGCCTGCTTTTGGCTGATGAGATAGGATTGTTGTTGTTGTGTGCTTTCAAGTCGTTACAGACTTGGGTTGACCTTGAGTGAGGGTCGGGTAAATGACCTTGGAGGGCCGCATCTGGCCCCTGGGCCTTAGTTTGAGGATCCCTGGTTTAGAGGTTCATTATATAAATTCTTATTTCAAATAATCATAATCATAATCATTGAATCATCAAGTTGGAAGAGACCATGTGGGCCATCCAGTCCAACCCCCTGCCAAGAAGCACCAGGAGGGCCAAAGTTTGCCCAGGCCTGACTCAGAGAGTTAGGAGTACGAAAGTAACTTCTGTGTGCATTCAAAGCACCCTCGACAGATGAACTTCCAAGCCTTCGTTCTGGCTCATGGGAGTCCATTATTATTTATTATTATTATTAGAAACTGCTTAGAGGTTCATTATTATTCCATATATTATTATTATTTGAAACACCACAAGATGAGTCCACAGCAGACACTCTGCTGGCTGTTGCGTTGGATCACACATCGGACACTTTCCAAATGTCTAGGACTGTGTGATGTATCGGCGAATAATGCATGCAGATCCCAATAAGGTGGCCTTCTGCAGCTGGCAGATGGGAATCTTGTCAGCGCCGATTGTATTTAAGTGCAGGCCAAGGTCTTTAGGCACTGCACCCAGTGTGCTGATCACCACTGGGACCACCTTGACTGGCTTGTGCCAGAGTCTTTGCAGTTCGATCTTTAAATCCTCGTATCGTGTCATCTTTTCCAGTTGTTTCTCTTCAATCCTGCTGTCACCTGGGATTGCAACATCGACAATCCATACTTTGTTTTTTAACACGATCGTGAGGTCAGGAGTCTTGTGCTCCAAAACTCTATCTGTCTGAATCCGGAAGTCCCAGAGTAGCTTACCGTGTTCATTTTCTGTAGCTTTTTCTGGCTTGTGATCTCACCAGTTCCTTGTTGCAGAAAGATGGTATTTGTTGCACAAGTTCCAATTAATCACCTGAACAATGGTGTTGTGCCTCTGCTTGTAGTCTGTCTGCGCGATCTTTTTGCAGCAGCTGAGGATGTGTTTCATCTGCTTCCTTGCAGAGTCTACATTTGGGATCTGTTATTATTATTATTATTATTATTATTATTATTATTATTATTAGAAACTGCTTAGAGATTGATTATTATTCCATATATTATTGTTATTATTATTATTATTAGAAATAACAGTATATTTAATAATAGTGAATCTCTAAGCCTTATGCTGTGCTCATAGGAGTCCATTCCTTATTATTATTAGAAACTGCTTAGAGGTTCATTACATATACTCTTATTTGAAATAATAATAATAATCATTATAGAATTATCAAGTTGGAAGAGACCTTGTGGGCCATCCCGTCCAGCCCCCTGCCAAGAACCAGGTCACAGAGTGTGGTTTTCGTGGTCGAATGAGGATTTGAACCTGGTCAGGCATGGGCAAGTTTGGGCCCTCCAGGTATTTTGGACTTCAACTCCATAATGAGCGCCTATGAGCCAAATTGGAGGCTTAGAGGTCAATTATTATTAAATATACTATTATTATTATTATTATTATTATTATTATTATTATTATTATTATTAWYAKAWTTAMTRMTWAKGAGSCTCMTWAKYAKTWWMTAWGTTRWTAATAATAATAATAATAATAATAATAATAATAATAATAATAATAGTATATTTAATAATAATTGACCTCTAAGCCTCCAATTTGGCTCATAGGCGCTCATTATGGAGTTGAAGTCCAAAATACCTGGAGGGCCCAAACTTGCCCATGCCTGACCAGGTTCAAATCCTCATTCGACCATGAAAACCACACTCTGTGACCAGGTATAAGTCACACACTCTCAGCCTCTGAAACTCCCACCTGAAGTCGTTTCCATGGCTTGTTTTGGGGAGGAAATGAGCCAAAGCTTACCGCAGACTAAAGAACAACCAGGGAGCAAAGTCCTTGGTTTATTGAACAGCTCCTGGAATGAAAGCAATAAAGTTTGTCATCTTGTCACACTGTTTACAGACGGTATAATGCAAACCATCCCATAGACCTGAACAAGGATAGGGGAGAGACCCAAAAGCCAGAGGATGTAGATTAAATCTATGGCGAACATGCCCAGAATTTACCAAGAAGAATCGCAATGGCTTACTATACATGTTTTTTGTTCCATCGTTGTTTTGCTGGATTTATACAATGAGCTTTTATAACACTACCTTTATTATGGTATTGTATTTTTTAAATTGCTAGAGTGAACTTTATATTTTCATATTTTTGTTTAAAAGTCACCTTGACTTTGAATGTTTTGATGGATTTTAACTGTGATTTTTTTAGTGCTGTTTGTGTTTAATTCTGTTTTAATATTTGCATATTTAGATATTTTAAATTGTATACTAATGCTTTTATGTTAATCTGCATTGAGTCTCTTTTAGGAGAGATAAAGTGGGGTATCAATAATAATAATCATCATCATCATCATAATCCCAGGTGATAGTAGAATTGACGAGAAGCAACTAGAAAAGCTTAGACAGTATGAGGATTTAAAGATAGAACTGCAAAGACTGGCATAAGCCAGTCAAGGCTGTCCCAGTGGAGATTAACATACTGGGTGCAGTGCCTAAAGACCTTGGCCTGCACTTAAAAACAACCTACACTGACAAAATTACCACCTGTCAGTTTCAAAAGGCCACCCTACTCAGATACGCACACATTATTTACCGATACATCAGACGGTCCTAGACAGTTGGGAAGTGTCCAACATGTCATCAAATACAAAAGCCAGCATAGTGCTCTTGTTTACTGTGTACTAATCTTGTTATGTATCTAATGATAATAATAATAATAATAATAATAATAATAATAATAATAATAATAAATCACCTTGACTCAGGATCCCATTATCGAAAGGTGGGATATAAGTGGCCCAGTAAATTTGGAATCAAAATCTTTATGACTTTAAACACATTTCTTGAATGAGAAAACAGAGGTTATTATCAAGACTTGGAATATCACTATCTGTTACCTTATGTTTGTGTGAATAAGGTACAGCATAGGTTTTGTTAGCGACAATTTGGAGAAGAATTAAGTTTGGGAATGTATGCATAAAAGAGCTGGGATGACAAACATAGCTGTTAAGATTCCGTATTGATAAAGAAAGCCTTTGAGGTTTTCCGGCACTTTAGATTTTCTTTTTATTAATAAAGTTTATTTTCAAGATCTGTAAAAAGAAACTGTCGGACCAGAAACTAAATGAAACCGTCAAATTAAAAAATAACCCAACGTCAATCCTTCCTAATATACATAACTTCTTATATATATATTTTCCATATATAACTATAGGCATTTTCTTCACCCAGGTTTGAGAGGAAAGGAAAGGGCTTTCCCCCCCAAACCCATCCTTTACAGCACCAGGCACCATGGGATACGAAAGACATGAAAGGAGAGAGAAAATATATCCATAATTCAGGAGTGATGGGGCCATAATGACCTGATCCCACTGAAAAGTGAGCCTACAAGGCCCCTTTCTCCCTCCAGCATGCAAAGAAGAGGATCCTTAAAAACCGCAGAGAACGATCCGCCCAGAAAATATATTTATATATGTATCTCCCACCCCAAAAAAATCCCCTCCAACAGGGATCTCGCTTTTAATCTCTGGGTGGGGAATCATGTCATTCTCCAGGTATTTTGGGGCTTCAGCTCCCAGCAGTCCTCACCCTTCATGAGGAATGATGGAAGTTGTATTCCAAAATGGAAGTTCACATTCCCTAACCTGGCACATGCCAGATATGTTAGACTACAGCCATCATTCTACTACAGGCAGCCACAATGGCCATGAGTGATGGGAGTTGTAGTCCAAACTATCGGGAAGAGTGATAGATTTTGGGGATGAGGGTGAAGGCCACCTTAGTCAGGAAATTTCTCTTCCAGATCCAGAAAGGACAGTGCCAGCTGGTGCGCCAATTATAATCTATGAAGCCGGCCCTGCCGGTTCTTCTATACTTTAGGTGGCATGAATTTAAAAAAAACAAACAAACTTGATTGGTTGGGACCTGTCACCCAATTGCATAAGAGCTCTGAAGGAAGCAAACCATAGCGGACCAAAAAAAATCTTTTCACAGTTTCCAATTGGTCAGGAACAAGCGCCAAACTTGCCTTTTAGGAGGCAGACAGGTCTGATTAAGTTAGCTTGGCTTTTACTGATTGACTAGATTGCATCGCTGATAGAAAGAGAAATCCACAACTAATTGGTCATATTTCCACCAGTGAATAATGAAATTTGCAACCACTCCCACCCCAGTGCAAAAACACATGTTTCCGAACAATGAAAAATAAAAGGAATCCATAATAGTATTTTGTATTTGGCCAGATTTACAGGGTTTGCTGACAAGCTACTTGTCTCGAACGACAAGAGAGTATTTGGGGGTGCTGCTTCCCCTTTTTCCTGACAATCAATTGCCAGGGTAGCAATCTAGGAAATCTGCAAACAACTCTAGCCAATAGAAGGAGAGACCATAGCAAGCCGAAATTTTCATATCTCCCTTGAGATCCCAGCCAATGGAAAGAGAGGGCTACTAGCCTTCTTTCTAGGCTAGTTAATCCACAAGGAACGCTGCAATGGAAGATATCACTTTGAGTCCACTCATCCCGGTCAATGGAAAACGACACCCAGTTTTGGGTCAGTCCATCTTGAGGTTGACATAGATGTAGCGGATGAACTTGAGGGAGGCGAAGAAGGAGATGGTCCCCAGCATCAGGAAGAACACGTAGCCTGTGAGCAAAGAGTAGCCAAAGAACTCCACCGTCTGGACCGCACCAGACATATTGGAGCGCCGCGAGTAGTAGAAGACGGAGTAGAGGAAGATGAAGAGGCCCGTGGAGCCGGTACTCAGCACAGAGCGCCACCACCAGCGGTAGTCCTCCCCAGAGAGCTGGAAGTAGGTGAGGGCAATGGAAATGCAGGCCCCCACGCTGAGCAGGATGGCAAAAACAAAGAAGAGAATCCCGTAGAGCGTGTACTGCTCTCGGCCCCAGACGGTGGCAAAGATATAGTAGAGCTCCACAGAAATGGCACTGTCAAGAGATAAAGGACACCATGTCAGAACTACGACCATCATCCACAACAATCTACCTTTCAACCTTCTGAGAAGCCCTCATAGAATCATAGAATCATAGAATCAAAGAGTTGGAAGAGACCTCATGGGCCATCCAGTCCAACCCCCTGCCAAGAAGCAGGAATATTGCATTCAAATCACCCCTGACAAATGGCCATCCAGCCTCTGCTTAAAAGCTTCCAAAGAAGGAGCCTCCACCACACTCCGGGGCAGAGAGTTCCACTGCTGAACGGCTCTCACAGTCAGGAAGTTCTTCCTAATGTTCACATGGAATCTCCTCTCTTGTAGTTTGAAGCCATTGTTCCACGTCCTTGTCTCCAAGGAAGCAGAAAACAAGCTTGCTCCCTCCTCCCTGTGGCTTCCTCTCTCATATTTATACATGGCTATCATATCTCCTCTTAGCCTTCTCTTCTTCAGGCTAAACATGCCCAGTTCCCTAAGCCCTCCTCACACCCTGATCCTTCATTTTTCCAGAATTATTCTTGCCCTTGTGTTTGGTTCCACAACGCTGCATTAATTGTCTGTGGATTTTGTCCCATTAGATAAAATGGAATGATATGTACAGTCAACTCTCCACATTCATTGGGGTTAGGGGCTCAGGGTCCCCGTAAAAGTGAGGAAAATGTGAGGAAGCACCTCTAGAAATGTCTAAGTCCTCCAGCATGACTCTATGACCAACATTATGAGGAATCACATGGCAGAACCTAGAAATGTTTTAAAAAGTGCTTTCTCTAGGAATTTCTTAAGTCCTTTAATGCAACTGGTAGAATGTTACTGTAGAGTCACACTGTAGGGCCTAGAGCTTCTCACAAGGAGCATATTAATGAAATCTATGAATAATCAAATAATCGAAGTATAATCCACAAACGTGGAGGGGCAGCTGTACTGTAAAAATAATACTGTACTGGAAAAATAATAATATAATAGTTAATAATAATAATAATAATAAAGAAAAATCTGGAGTACACAAGCAGTGTACTTAATGTACTGGAAAGCTACAGAGAGACTGGAGGCAGGACTGAGGGTCTCTGAAACTCTGGTCTCTATCCTGCTTTCCAAACCCAATAGGTACTATGCTCCTTGTGCTGTGTATTTTTGAATCCATGGCTGATTGAACCCATGGATCCAAAGCCTGTGGATCCAGAGGGTCAAATATACTGCAACATAGCAGGGTTAAACCGCTGAACTGCTGAACTTGCTGACTTAAAGGTTGGCGACTCAAATCTGGGGAGCAGGCTGAGCTTCTGCCAACCTAGCAGTTCAAAAACATGAAAATGTGAGTAGATCAATAGGCTCTGGTGGGAAGGTAAAGGCGCTCTATGCGGTCATGCTGGCCACATGATCTTGGAGGCATCTACGGACAACGCCAGCTCTTTGGCTTAGATGAGCACCACTCCCCTGAGCTGGACACAACTAGACTTAATGTCAAGGAGAAACCTTTACCTTTAGTAGGCCATTATCTTCCCCATTATAAAGATGGGGACACTGAGATAAAGAAATGAGCTTAGGTTTGACATTTCTGACTCTCCACACCAGGGAGTGTGACAGTCAAAGAAAGGATCCCATATTAAAGTCAGATATGAGTCAAGGAGCAAGAAAAGTAGCCAGTTACACAACTTGCCCCTCTCCTCTCTTACCTGAAGGGCAGGAATCCTCCAATGGTCATGTGTACCACCGTGGACTTGTACCAGGGCTGCGAGGGGATTTCCCTGGCAATGTTCTTGGTCCGGCATGGTGCGTCGAAGGGGCCAGCCCGGTTCTTGCCAAAGATGCCCCCAATGACGGTCAGGGGGAAGCCCACCAACAGCCACACCGTGAGCAGGAGGAGGATAGTGGTGGCTGGAAGCGCCTGGGTCGACCCATTGGCCCAGTGCACTGAGTTGACCACACTCCACGTCAGGAAGAAAGGAGCTGAGAGGAGAAAGGGAAGAGACACTAGCATCAGTAGTGACCGCTGGAGATGGCAGACTGAGAAGCAAGCCTTCCATGTGAATCTGCAGAATCTGCTGTGCTATTTGTCACTGTTGCTTTTATGAAAACAACTGCTTGACATTTATGGTATATATTGAACTATAAACTGAGTTTTTCCTGCCCTTTTTAGATCTGAAAAAGCCCCCATTGACTTATACTCAAGTCAAAGTGATTTAATATTTTACTCTGTTATTACTATTATTTTATTACATTTATTATTTTACTCTATTATTATTACATTTATTATTTTACTCTCATTATTATTACAGTTCCATTATTTTACGCTATTATTATTATTATTATTATTATTGCATTTATTATTTTACTCTCATTATTGGAAGGATACGTAAGCACATTTTCATTGAAGAAGGTTAGAATAAATGTTTTAATCAGAGTTGGACTGTCTCATCTTAAATTACAGTTTTATGTAAATATTCAAAAATATTTAACTTACTGATGCCTCAATTAATGTAATTTGAATGGTGTCTATTTTTATTTTGCATTTTACAATCTCGACTTATACCCGAGTCAATACGTTTTCCCAATTTTTTGTGGTAAAATTAGGTGCCTCGGCTTAGATTTTGGTTGGCTTATACTCGAGTATAAGCCTACTATTAGTTTTTTATAGTCTTAATTTTTATATTATATGAATTTTAAAGCGGTGTCTCTTTTAACCTCTCAAAGACCTGTTGAATAAAACGTGTCCTTGCCTGCCCATAAAATGAAAGACAGGAGGTGAAGTCTGGCCTCTGGGAAGGGTGTTTCAGAGCCTAGAGCAGTGGTTCTCAACATGTGGGTCCCCAGATGTTTTGGCCTTCAACTCCCAGAAATCCTATGTGCTGGTAAACTGGCTGGGATTTCTGGGAGTTGTAGGTCAAAACACCTGGGGACCCACAGGTTGAGAACAACTGGCCTAGGGGCAACCATCAAGAAGGTCTTGTCTTGCATCCATGTTTACTGTGCTTGTGAAGGTGGTGGGAGTGAAAGAAGAATGCCTTCTGAAGATCTCAGGGCCTGGGCAGGCCCATATGGGGAGATCCGGTCTGTCAGATAACCTGCCCTTCTTCAGCTGTATACAAGAACTCAACCAAATGGGACCTTACCAGAGAAAAGGCTTGTAGTGAGCAGAATGTTCCAGACCCAACGTTCTCCTCCAATCTGGCGATAGAAGTTACTGGAAACATAGCCAGAAATGCAGCAAGTGAGGGCGTAGAGAAGGATGGCAGCTGAGTTGATGGCTCCATGCCGGTGGACATTGAACATGCCCAATAAAGCCATCACGATGATTCCTGTGCCCAAGGCCAGGAACTGGCTGCCCACGCCCAGCACAGCACAGAGGAGGCTACGACAAGGCGGGAACCGGAAGACGTCTGTGTGGATGATCTTCCACCCGTTGTCCCCCTGGTCAAAGTCATCCCCCGATGATGAGGAAGAGGCCTCCTCGTCCAGATTGTAGCGAGCCAGGTCGTTCTTAAGGACCCGCATAAGGATGACCACCACGAAGCCCACCAGAAGGAACACCAGCACCATGGAGTTGATAATGGACAACCAATGGATCTCCAAGGTGCGGGGGAAAAACCCATCGTCCCCACCACGGCTGCCACGGCGTTCCCCTCGGCGTTCTGAGGCAGTCTCGGACCAGCGGACGCTGTAGGTGTGCGTGATGGATAGACTGCTCTGGACGTCATCGAGGCTGGTGGGCTTGACGTTGCGGACACTGACGTTGGCGTAGATGATCCGGTCTCCGTTCCACTCCAGGTGGAAGTCCAGGTGGGTCCAAAGCCCGATCTTGTGGCTGTGGGGCAAGAAGCCACTCTCCTCCATGTAACCCACAAAGCCACGGAGAGGCAAGTCGTCCACCACAAACTCAAAGTAGTAGAGTTCTTCGATAGCTTGGCGGAGGCGGTCCACCTGAGAGAAGGAAATAGTGTTATCATGCCAGAAAGAAAGGCCAAGATCTCAGTTCCCTGGGTCCAAATTCCCTAAATTTCAACAACAATAGAAGCAAGAAACACAGAATCATAGAGTTTGAAGAAAATCAGTCTTACACAGCTCATTGACGTTACCAGTTCTAATACACTATCTTCCATTTTAACATTATTAGTAGTATTCATTCAATCTCATTTTTGAAGCTCTAGGATTCAAAGAGCCTTGTGAAGATTTTTTAAAATGCAGATGAAAAGCACACAGAGATAATAGAATCAATCATTGTTGGAGTTGGAAGAGACCACACAGTCCAACCCCCCTGCTGTGTAGGAAAATACAATCAAAGCACTCCCGACAGATGGCCAAACAGCCTCTGCTTAAAAACCTCCAGAGAAGGAGACTCCACTGTATTCCCAAGCAGCAGATTCCTTTGTTGAACAGCTCTTACTGTCGAGAAGTTCTTCTTAATGTTTAGGTGGAAACAGAAATATTTGTATTTAGGTCCAAGAACAAATATTTGTACTTAGATTCCCTTTGTCTCAGTAGTTTCCTCATAAAAGGTTTATGAGGAGGTTTGCCAAGAATTTCTGCTGCAGCTTGGAAAACCTGACTTTCTCAAGACCATGCAGTAAGTTTCCATGGGTGGCCAGAGATTCGAACCCCGTCACAGAGTCTGAATCAATTACACCGTATGGCCTCTTTTAAAAACATGAAAGCTTGCTAATATAGGTTAAGCTGTCAGAAATATTAAATATGAACTAGATATTTTTAATTACAAAAATGTGAGTCAAGCACTGAAAGAGTTACATGGATGTAATGACTCAGCAAAAGCTGCAGTTCAATATAAGTAGGTGTGCATGTAACTTAGTAGCCCTTAGTCTGAGGGAGCCCTCAGTGTTAGCAGACCTCAGTGAGAGAGAGGCTTCAGTATGATAGGCCTCAGTCTGAGGTAGTCCTCAGTCTGTGAGAGGTCTCTGTGGGAGAAGGGCCTCAGTGTGTTAGTAAGCCTCAGTATGAAAAGTCCTCAATGTTAGTTCACCTCACTGTGGGAGAGGTGTCAGTCTGAGAGAGCACTCAGTGTGAGAAGAACTCTGTAGGAGAAAGGCCTCAGTGTTAATAGGCATCAGTATGAGAAGGCCTGGTGTGAGAAGCTTTAGTGAGAGAAGCCCCAGGTTGAAGGCCATCATGTGTGAAGCTTCAGTATGAAGGCTGTTGTGTGTAAAAAGCTACTGTGTGAAGCTCCTGTGTAATTTCGGTGTGAGATGAGGCTCTGTGAGAGTGAAGCTATCTGCATGAGAAAGAAGCCCAGTGTGGAAGCAAAGAAGGAAGTGTAAATAACTTTGTGTTATGGGAACCTTGTTCTTGTAAATACTGCAACCATAATATTTTGCTATAAAGAAAAGTCTCCTATGGAAGAGATTACATTGGTCGGTGTGTTTTTGTTCTTTTTATCACTTTGGGCTACTGATACTGGGTCATGCTGCTGGTGCTAAGTTACTCTGCTGTACATTCATGGGGAGAGTCTTTTGTTAATAAGCCCACTCACCCAACAATAGCATCCCATATTTGGAATTCTGAAATCCAAAATACTCCAACATCCAAAACTATCCAAATGGGCAGCTGAAATAGTGACTTATTTGTTTTCTGATGGCTTCACACATGATGGCCTTCAGCCTGGGGCTTCTCTCACTAAAGCTTCCCACACCAGGCCTTCTCATACTGATGCCTATTAACACTGAGGCCTTTCTCCTACAGAGTTCTTCTCACACTGAGTGCTCTCTCAGACTGACACCTCTCACAGTGAGGTGAACTAACACTGAGGACTTCTCATACTGAGGACTTCTCATACTGAGGACTTCTCATACTGAGGACTTCTCATACTGAGGACTTCTTATACTGAGGACTTCTCATACTGAGGCCCTTCTCCCATAGAGACCTCTCAGAGACCGAGGGCTACCTCAGACTGAGGCCTCTCTCACTGAGGTCTGCTAACACTGAGGGCTCCCTCAGACTAAGGGCTACTAAGTTACAGGCACACCTGCAATATACAACATACATAACCTTTATTTCATCCATAAAATTATTAAATATACCGTGTGCAAAATTACCTTCAGGTTATGTATATACAGTGTATGTGAAAAACAAATGATTTTTTTTGTTTAAACTTGGGTCCTATCTCCAAGGCATCTCATGATGCAAATATGGGTATTCAAAAAGCCTTTTGGGTAAGAAATGTTCAACCCATATTGCAATGCAGTCAATCCAGCCACATTTAAAAACAAACCCATTCAAAAGACAGAAGGGGGAAGTTCATAAAGCAGCACACAAAAGCTCTTGCATGCCCTGGCACGTTTTCCATGTCAGTCCCATCACTCAGTGGTACTAGGAAAACATAGTAAGGCATCAGAATTGGAAAAAAGTGGCCAGTTGAAGCTCTAAAGCAATGTTTCTCAACCCTCCTAATGCCATGACCCCTTAATACAGTTCCTCATGTTGTGGTGACCAGCAACCATAAAATTATTTTCGTTGCTATTTCACAACTGTAATTTTGCTCCTATTATGAATTGTAACGTAAATATCTGATATGCAGGATATATTTTCATTCACTGGACCAAATTTGGCACAAATACCCAATACTCCCAAATTTGAATAATGGTGGGGTTGAGGGGGACTGATTTTGTAGTTGTTGGGATTTATATTTCACCCACAATCAAAGAGCATACTGAACTCCACCAATGATGGAAGTGAACCAAACTTGGCACTCCCATGACTAACAGAAACTACTGGAAGGGTTTGGTGGGCATTGACCTTGAGTTTTGGAGTTGAAGTTCACCTGCATCCAGAGAGCACTGTGGACTCAACAATGGTAGATCAGGATCAAACTTGGCACAAATATTCAATATGCCCAAATGTGAACACTGGTAGAGTTTGTGGGAAATAGACACTGACATTAGGGAGTTGAAGTTGCTGGGATTCACAGTTCACCTACAAACAAGTATTCTGAACACCACAATAGAATTGGGCCCCCATGACCAACCGAAAATACTGAGTTTTCTGATGGTCTTGGCCGACCCCTCTGACATCCCCTTGCGACCCCTCCAGGGGTCCAGACCCCCAGGTTGAGAAACACTGCTCTTAAACATTTAAGTCAACATAAGTATGTTCAACACATACTTGTGTGTTGAAGGAGTGTGGTGGAGGCTCCTTCTTTGGAAGGTTTTAAACAGAGGCTGGCCATCTGTCAGCCTCTGTGCTTTGAATGCAATATTCCTGCTTCTTGGCAGGGGGTTGGACTGGATGGCCCATGAGGTCTCTTCCAACTCTATGATTCTATGATTCTAACACAACCAGTATCACGAGAGAGACTCTCACATGCAGACTTTCTAACTGGGTTTACCTCTTCAAGCGAAAGCTTCTTTTCACAGAGGACCTTCTTCTCAACGTTCTCGCGGAAACGGATCTCATACATGGATTCGGCCATGCGGTCCCCATCCAGCACTTCTCCCAAAGTAAGGCTTTTGTGGCGAATGTTGTCCGGCGAACACACAGGGAGCTGGTAGTAATGGTAGGTCTCCTGGGGGTTGTGGTAAGGCCCGACCTTGTTGACGTAAAGCATGACTGCCTCCCCTTGCTTGTAGTGCCCCTCCGAAGAGGCCGCAGAGAAAAGGAAAAGGAGGGAGAAGAGGACAGAGAGGGACGGGTGGAGGGCCATTATGGGGAGAAGGGAGGGGTGGGAGCTGCGCTGCAATTTGGGGGGAAAGAGAGAAAGCCAACCATTAGCCATGAAATATTTCCAGGTACAAGAAGAATGCCCCATTGCAGAACTCAAAATCAGTTTTCCTTACCAGGGAAAAATAGTTCCTCCAACCTGGAGAATCTCACAAATCCCTAGACAAGATAATGCAGCACGGTAACTCTACCACAGGCATGGGAAAACTCCAAATCCCACAATTCCTAGACTCCAAATCCTTGCACAGTAAATGTCCTATTTTGTTATTACCAGTTGAATGTTGGAGTGTAGGTATTAAGTACAGTCGTGTCCGACTAGGGGTTGGTGCTCATCACCATTTCTAAGCAGAAGAGCTAGCGTTGTCCATAGATACCTCCAAGGTAATGTGGCAGGCATGACTGCATGGAGAGCTGTTACCTTCCCGCCGAAGCGGTACCTATTGATCTACTCACATTTGCATGTTTTCAAACTTCTAGGCTGGCAGAAGCTGGGGCTGACAGCGGGAGCTCACACCGCTCCTCAGTGGTTTAACCCACTGTGCCACCGGGGGCTCCTTGTTGGAGTCTACTCTTGTGTAATAAAGAAAATAGAACATTTACTATGCAAGGATTTGGAGTCTACTCATCTGTAGTAAAGACACAACAACTATTTCCATGCATGCAAAAAAGAATTTTTTCATCTTTCGAGAAAAGAACAAGTTATTTCTGCTGAATGTGAATGTAACAATCCTATGTTTTACTAACATTTGTATTTGTATGTATACACTAGCTGTACCCGCCACGCGTTGCTGTGGCCAACCTTCCCTCCTTCTTTTTTTCTTTCCTTCCCTCCTTCCCTTTTCCTTCTTTCATTCCTTTTTTTCTTTCCTTCTCTCCTTCTTTCCTTTTCTTCCTCTTCCCTTCCTTCCCCCCTTTTCTTTCCCTTCCTCTTTCTCCCTTCTCTACCTATTCTTGGACTGCAACTCCCAGCAGTCCTCCTGATCGATCTATTTACCTACTTACCTATTTATCTCTATCTAAACTATCTATCTGGAGGATTGCTGGGAGTTGCACCAGAATAAGAAATTGGAAATATGCAGGGATTGGGATGCTCCAAAAGAAATCCAAGGAGAAGAAAGCTTGCAGCTTGGAAGCAGTGCATTTGGATCATCCTCCTCTCTTAAAGGGCCTGGTGTAGGGGATACTGGGAGCTGAAGTCCGGAAGAGAGTGTGGATGGCTCTATTGTGTGTTTTGTTTGCCAGAGGGAGTTGTTTTCACGCATGTGCTGTAGCATCTTTTTGATTTTTTGGCTTTTTAAGTCCCTTACGCTATGTTTTTCAGTGTTTTTATGAGTGATGGTCACTCGTTGGCCTAATAGGTGTCTTGTGTCCGAAATTGGTGTCAATTCATCCAGTACTTTTTGAGTTATGTTAATCCAACAAACGAACATTACATTTTTAAATTTATACTAGTCGTCCCCTGCCACACGTTGCTGTGGCCCAGTCTGTGTATATGTGTTTTGTGTGTATAATATATATTTGTGTATATGTGTATATATGTGTGTTTGCGTATATATATGTGGTTTGGTGCATGCGTTATAATGTAATTTTTGTTTTTTAGCTTTTTAAGTCCCTTCTGCTGTGTTTTCTAGTGTTTTTATGAGTGATGGTCACTCATTGGCCTGATAGGTGTGTTGTGTCCAAATTTTGTATCAATTCATCCAGTGTTTTTCGAGTTATGCTAATCCCGCAAACGAACATTACATTTTTTATTTATATAGTCTAGCTGTCCCCTGCCACACATTGCTGTGGCCCAGTCTGTTGATCTGGAAAATAAAGTAATGAGAAAGTGTTGGTTTCTAATAGATGTAATTTCTTTCTGCTTGTGGGTAAACAGTATTTCTTGCTGTTTCTTTGTCAGTGTTGATGTGGAGAGTGTCCGGTTTGTCCACCCTGGAACATGCAACATATCATTGTCCTTCTTTAAGGGTCTCTTTCAAATCTATGATACTATATTTGTGTGTGTGTGAATAATATCTATCTATCTATCTATCTATCTATCTATCTATCTATCTATCTATCTATCTATATCTATGGCTGGATGGCTCTTTGTCAGGAGGACTTTGATTACGTTTTCTTGCCCTGGTGAAGGGAGTTGGATTGGATGGCCTTCAATATTTTCTGTTGGTCATGAGGGTTCTGTGTCGGAAGTTTGCCCCGATTCTGTCATTCGTGGGGTTCAGAATGCTCTTTGAATGTAGGTGAACTGTGGATCCCAGTGACTACAACTCCCAAATGACAGGGTCTATTTTCCCCAAACTCCATCAGTGTTCATATTTGGGCGTATTGAGTGCTTGTGCCAAGTTTGGTCCAGATCCATCATTGTTTGAGTCCACAGCGCTCTCTGGATGTAGGTGAACTACAACTCCCAAACTCAAGGTCAATGCCCTCCAAACACTTCTGGTGTTTTCTGTTGGTCATGGGAATTCTGTATCCCAAGATTGGTTTAATTCCATCATTGGTAAAGTCCAGAATGCTCTTTGATTGTAGGTGAACTATAAATCCCAGTAACTACATCCCCCAAATGACAAAATCATTTTTTTGAGTGATGGTCACTCCTTGGGTTAGAAGGTGTCTTGAGGCCAAATTTGACGGCAATTCATCCAGTGGGTTGTTGTAGGTTTTTTCGGGCTATATGGCCATGGGCTAGAGGCATTCTCTACTGATGTTTTGCCTACATCTATGGCAAGCATCCTCAGAGGTAGTGTGGTCTGTTGGAACTGGGAAAAGGGGGTTTATATATCTGTGGAATGACCAGGGTGAGACAAAGGACTCTTGTCTGCTGGAGCTAGGTGTGAATGTTTCAAGTGACCACCTTGATTAGCATACAATGGCCTGACAATGCCTGGAGCAAACTTTTGTTGAGAGGTGATTAGATGTCCTTGTTTGTTTCCTCTCTGTTGTTGTGCTGTTGTAATTTTAGAGTTTTTAAATACTGGTAGCCAGATTTTGTTCATTTTCATGGTCTCCTTCTTTCTGTTTATTTATATTTATTTACTTTGCTTATATTGTTGAAATTGTCCACACGCTTGTGTATTTCAATGGCTCCTCTGTGTAGTCTGACATGGTGGTTGTGAGAGTGGTCCCGCATTTCTGTGTTCTCAAATAAAATGCTGTGTCCAGGTTGGTTCATCACGTTCTCTGCAATGGCTGAGGATGCTTGCCATAGATCCAGACAAAACGTCAGGAGAGAATGCCTCTAGACCATGGCCATATAGCCCGAAAAGCCTACAACAATCCAGTGATTCCGGCCATGAAAGCCTTCGACAATAAATTCATCTAGTGTTTTTTGAGTTGTGTTAATGCCACAAACGAACATTACATTTTTATTTATATAGATTGAACTTCTGTGATACATTTACATCAGTGCCATTAGTGGATACTGGTCTTTTTGGATCCTGATTGGAGCCATCAGATGTAGAACTATTGGGTGGGGGGGGGGGGGGGCAGGGGAAACATCATGCAAGGAATGCCAAACTTGGGGGGGGGGGGCTCTTCTTGCAGGCACTGCCTTTTGGGGGGGCTCCCAGTCCCTCGGGAGATGTTAGCAGGGTATAAATAAAGGATTATTATTATTATTATTATTATTATTATTATTATTATTATTATTATTATTATACTGAGACTGACTTAGTAATGGTTGGTATGGCACAAAACAAGACCCAGCATGGGTTGGGCCTCGGCCTCTTGTAAGCCGCACCAAGTCCTTCAGGAGATGTTAGCAGGGTATAAATAAAGGATTATTATTATTATTATTATTATTATTATTATTATTATTATTATTATATGGTCTTTTTGGATCCTGATTGGAGTCATCAGATCTAGAACTATTGGGGGGGGGGGGGGCAGGGGAAACATCATGCAAGGAATGCCAAACTTGTGGGGGGGGGGGGGGGGGGGGGGGGGGGGGTTGGGGGGGGGGGCTCTTCTTGCAGGCACTGCCTTTTGGGGGGGGCTCCCTATGCCTCTATTTTGGGATACACCTTTGCAGGTAATGCTGCCTCCCTGATCCCACCCTCTCCAGCCTGGCTTAGTCCTGAGCTTCAGCAAGGCAAGCCCCCATGCTGCTCTGCTCTTCCCCACCTTCTCCCCAAACCCAGTGTTGCCCCTCCAACCACCCCCCAAGACCCTGTTAATGCAACTCACCTGTTTCTTTAGAGCTGCCCCTGGCACTGCCTGGGGGTCCTCGGATTTCAGTTGCCTAGAGCCAAAAGAAATAGAAAGGGAGGGGAGGGGGGTCCAGCCAGGTCCCCTCAGTACAGCCAAGCAGGGTGCAGAAAAGGTGAAGGGGAGGAGTGGGGATGGCCTCTCTCAACCCCAGAGACTCCCCGTGGCTGTGCCTGAGCCCTCTCCTCCCTCCCAACCCGCTCCCACTCCTTTCCTTCCCATGCCCTCCGCTTTAGGGCTCTCTCAGGCCACAGTGGCGCGTTTCCCGGAGGCAGGGATGAATCATGCCCAGCGCCACAGGCTCACAACGCCTCGGGGTCCTTCAGGCGATCGGCGAGGGCAGCCCCGGCCACGTCCTCCGCCTGCTTCCGCCCTCAGATGAGCGCAGGGATTTCAATGCCCATACTATGACGTACTTCCGGGTTTGGGCTCCTTAGAGACAAGAGGGGAAAATAAAACAGGCAGGAGGTTGGCTCTGTTATGGCCCCGCCCACCTCTTAAAGGGGAAGAGCCTTTTATACCCTCACAGAATGAAAGCAGTCTAGGAGGGAAGTGGTTAGGACTTCTTTTTTGGGTTGTTGTAGGTTTATTCATCCATGTTCTAGAGGCATTCTCTCCTGATGTTTTGCCTGCATCTATGGCAAGCATCCTCACAGGTAGTGAGGTCTGTTGGAACTAGGAAAAGGGGTTTATATATCTGTGGAATGACCAGGGTGGGACAAAGGACTCTTGTCTGCTGGAGCTAGGTGTGAATGTTTCAACTGACCACCTTGATTAGCATATAATGGCCTGACAGTGCCTGGAGCAAACTTTTGTTGAGAGGTGATTAGATGTCCTAAACAACAGAGAGGAAACAAACAAGGACATCTAATCATCTCTCAACAAAAGTTTGCTCCAGGCTCTGTCAGGCCATTATATGCTAATTAAGGTGGCGGATGTGTGAATCTCCACAAAAGTCAACATTGACACTGAAATACAACACCGCCTGAGCTCTGCGAGTGCAGCATTTTTCCGAATGAAGCAGAGAGTGTTTGAGGACTGGGACATCCATAGAGATACCAAGGTGCTTGTTTACAAAGCTATTGCCCTCCCAACTCTGCTGTATGCCTGCGAGACATGGACTATCTATAGACGTCACATGCAAATCCTAGAACGATTCCACCAGCGTTGCCTCTGAAAAATCCTGCAAATCTCTTGGGAAGACAGGCGGACAAATATCAGCGTGCTGGAAGAAGCAAAGACCACCAGCACTGAAGCGATGGTCCTCCACCATCAACTCCGCTGGACTGGCCATGTTGTCCGGATGCCTGACCACCATTTCCCAAAACAGTTGCTCTACTCCAAACTCAAGAACGGAAAATGGAATGTTGTTGGGCAGGAAAAGAGATTTAAAGATGGGCTCAAAGCCAACCTTAAAAACTCTGGCATAGACACTGACAACTGGGAAGCTCTGGCCCTTGAGCTGGAGTTCAGCTGTGACCAGCAGTGCTGTAGAATTTGAAGAGGCACGAATGGAGGACGAAAGAGATAAAGAGGAAGGTGCATCAAGCCAACCCCGACCGGGACCGCCTTCCACCTGGAAACCAATGCCCTCACTGTGGGAGAGCATGCAGGTCAACAATAGGGCTCCACGGTCATCTACGGACCCACCACCAGTACACTGATCTTGGAAGACAATCCTACTCGGACAACGAGGGATGGCCTAAGTAAGTAAGTAAGTGTCAATCTGTGTATTTAAATGAGCTATCCAAGGTACTTAATCCATTTTGGCGATTTATTACCCAGGACCTTATTCTGTAAATTCCAGACTAAATCCCAGAGCGGATTTAAGTACCAACAATATAGAAATGTTAAACGAATTGCACTCTTCGTAAGTAGAAAAGTAGACTATGAATATAAAATGCATAGGACAAAAGGCGAAATATAAATATTTAAATCAATTATTTAAATATTTATATTGTATATCACTCTACACCAAGCATGGCCAAACTTTGGCCCTCCGGGTGTTTTGGACTTCAATTCCCACAATTCCTAACAGCCTACCGGCTGTTAGGAATTGTGGGAGTTGAAGTCCAAAACACCCAGAGGGCCAAAGTTTGCCCATGCCTGATCCAATCTCACCCAACACGTATCTCCTTCAGGAGGAATTTGAAGAGGTAATCCTTGGAGGTCTTTTTCTTGGAGATGATCTTGATGGCCACCATGGTCTTCTGCTTGGCGAAATAGTCCTTGTAGACGGTGCCGTAGGAGCTGTGCCCAATCACTTTGCCGATCTGGTAGCCGTATTGATCCATCACCGAGACGTACGGCATGGAGGCTGAATGTTCCACCATGGTTCCGTTTTGGTGCTCAGCCCAAAAGAATGTTTTTGTGATAGGGAAAGGACCCTTGGTTGGATGTGCTGAGAAGTATGGAAGACCCTCTTATGTCTATCGGGAAGGACAACCAGGGGAGGAGAAGGTAATCAGGTTTTTCCAACTGTGTATCCGAGTCCAAGGAGATCTCTCCGATAAGTCTTTTGGGTGATGGGAGGGATCTAGTTGGAGATCCACCTGTCTCACCCAACTTGGTGGAATCTAAACCATCATCCTGCCACTTAATGGCTCCAAAGGAAGAAATGGGATCTGCTCAACTGGACCCCAACCACTCGGATGGGGTCCGACCTACTTTTCTGCCTGGGTTATGAAGATGCCCTTGGCATTCCAGCCATGTCAATAGGTCAATGGGGTTCCAGTTACCATAGGGAGGCTTCCGTGGATGGCATTGCGGGATTGTCTTCCAACAAAGGATGTTGCCTGATGCAATACGGGTTCCGCTTGCTCCAAACTCTCTTGGTTCCAAATCCTACTCCTTGGATTTAAGTAATACTATGTTCTCATCTCAAACAAACAAGGGTCTTCTGTTCCTGTGACGCCCTTTGACAATATTATAAGCCTTTTTTTGGGGGAAAGGGGAGGTTTGTGGTTAAAGGATTGGAAGAGACCCCAAGGGCCATCCAGTCCAACCCCCTTCTACCATGAAAGAATACACGATCAAAGCAGTCTTGACAGATGGCCATTCAGTCTCTGTTTAACAGCCTCTAGAGAAGGAAACTCCAACAAACTCCCAGGCAGTCAGTATTCAACTAAAGTCGAAAGGGATCTCGAAAGGCTATCCAGTCCAACCCCATTTTGTCATGCAGGGATACACAATCCAATCACTCTTGACAGATGGCTACTCAGTCACTGCTGAAAAGTCTCGGGAGAAGTATAATTCTCTGCACTCTCTGGTAGTCTATATTTTATTAGCGTTAGAAGGGATCCCTAAAGGCCTTCCAGTCCCACCCCATTCTGTCATGCAGGAGTACACAATCCAAGCACTCTCGACAGATGGCCATTCCGTCTGTGTTTAACAGTCTCTAGAGAAGGAAAATCCAACAAACTCACAGGCAGTGAATATTCAGCTATAGTCGAAAGGGATCTCGAAAGGCCATCCAGTCCAACCCCATTCTGTCATGCAGAAATACACAAATAAAGCACTCTCGACAGATGGCTATTCAGTCCCCGCTGAAAAGTTTTGGATATGTATATTCCACTGCACTCCCCAGAAGTCTACATTCCATTAGCGTTAGAAGGGATCCCTAAGGGCCATCCAGTCCAACCCCCTTCTACCATGCAAGAATACACGATCAAAGCAGACTCGACAGATGGCCATTCAGTCTCTGTATAACAGCCTGTCGTTTGAATCCAGTGGAAGTTAAAGTGGTGTCAAATTGAGCAATGGAAGTTAAAGTGGTATCAAATTGCATTAATTTTGTAGTCTAGAGGCCAAAAATGTGGTTATTGATTAAAAATTAGCCACAGCTGCTGTTCACAGATCCGGGGAACACAGCAGAGTGGAGGGTGAGCCCTGGCACCACAATGGCTGGGAGGAAAAGAGGGAGGTAATTTAATAAATACTTTCTTCCAGAGAATCCTGGCAATTTGCAGCAACAAACCTGTCAAGCCGTGCAAATTATAGCAAGCTGTGGCTTTTCTTGCTGAGCTGGAGATGCGCACCCAGCCCTTTCCTTTTGCCTGGAGCTGGGCTCTCTAAAATTGGGAGGAAAATAGTATTTTTGTCTCCTCCATGATGAAATTGGCTGGCAAGGCACCCATTCAGCTTGTGTGTATTTTGCAGGCCTAATATAAACCACAGGCAAAAAAAGCACTAAAATAGTAGTTGAGCATCTGTAGGTGGAGGTAAACGTTACTATTTACTAGAAAGGGCGGCTTTCTAGTAAATTTTCTAATATAAAATCTGTTTATATTAGAAACCACACTTTCCTAGCACACACACATTTATTGACCTCAAGAAGAGGCAGATAAAAATACATATTATTATTATAATTACTAATACTACTACTACTATTATTGGAAGCACTCTGCACATGAACAGAGGCACAGTTTCTCATTAGCACTGCCTTCTTGATTCATATGCCCACCTCAAGCACCATTAATATATACAATATAATAATATATAGAAATAATAACATTGTACTAAAATAATATGAATATAGTATATATAATATTAAAAATGTTGTAATATATTATTATTATTATTATTATTATTATAATATTACCCTCCACTCTGCTGTGTTCTCTGTGGCTAATTCTTAATCAATAACCACATTTTTGGCCTCTAGACTGCAAAATTAATGCACTTTGACACCAATTTAACTTCCATTGGATTCAAACTACAGCAAAATAAGTTCCACCTAATCTTTAGTAAAACCTTCCTGACAGTAAGACCTATCTGATAGTGGAATACACTGTCACTTGGAAGTCCAGCAGAGCCTATGTTTTGTGAGGCTTTTAAACAGAGACTGGTCATCTATTGGGAGTGGTTTAATTGTATATTCCTGCATGGCAGAATGGAGTTGGACTGGATGACCTTTAGGGATCCCTTCTAACGCCAATGGAATAAAGACTACCAGGGAGCGCAGAGAAGTATACTTCTCCAGAGGCTTTTCAGCAGGGACTGAATAGCCATCTGTCAAGAGTGCTTGGATTGTGTATTCCTGCGTAACAGAATGGAGTTGGAATGGATGGCCTTTAGGGATTCCTTCTAATTTTAGTGGAATATAGACTTCCGGGGAGTGCAGTGGAATATACATCTCTAATACTTTTCAGCAGGGACTGAATAGCCATCTGTCGAGAGTGCTTGGATTGTGTATTCCTGCATGACAGAATGGGGTTGGACTGGATGGCCTTTAGGGATTCCTTCTAATTTTAGTGGAATATAGACTTCCGGGGAGTGCAGTGGAATATACATCTCTAATACTTTTTAGCAGGGACTGAATAGCCATCTGTCGAGAGTGCTTGGATTGTGTATTCCTGCATGACAGAATGGGATTGGACTGGATGACCTTTCGAGATCCCTTTTGACTTTAGTTGAATATTGACTGCCTAGGAGTTTGTTGGAGTTTCCTTCTCTAGAAGTTGTTAAACAGAGACTGAATGGCCATCTATCAGGGGTGTTTGAATTGTGTATTCCTGCAGGACAGAATGAGGTTGGACTGGATGGCCTTTAGGGATTCCTTTTAACGCTAATGGAATATAGACTACCAGGGAGTGCAGAGAATTATACTTCTCCCGAGGCTTTTCAGCAGTGACTGAATAGCCATCTGTTGAGAGTGCTTAGATTGTGCATTCCTGCATGACAGAATGGGGTTGGACTGGATGGCCTTTCGAGATCCTTTTCGACTTCAGTTGAAAATTGACTGCCTGGGAGTTTGTTGGAGTGTCCTTCTCTAGAGGCTGTTAAACAGAGACTGAATGGCCATCTGTCGAGACAGCTTTGATCGTGTATTCTTGCATGGTAGAAGGGGGTTGGACTGGATGGCCCTTGGGGTCTCTTCTAACCCTTTAACCACAAACTTCTCCTTTCCTCCAAAAGAGGCTTATAATTTTGTCAAAGGGCATCACAGGAACAGAAGACCCTTGTTTGTTTGAGATCGTATCATCGTGTCAGGGGCAACCAGACCATCGTATTACATTTCTAACAGAACAAAACAAACAAACAGATAAAAAAAAACCCCACAAAGTTTGCAAGCTTGATAGTTCATTAAATGTCCTTTGACCAGTAGTTGGCCACTTGGAGTGCCTCTGGTGTTACTATAAGGAGGTCCTCCATTGTGCATGTGGCAGGGCTCAGGTTGCATTGCAGCAGGTGGTCTGTGGTTTGCTCTTCTCCACACTCGCATGTTGTGGATTCCACTTTGTTGCCCCATTTCTGAAGGTTGGCTCTGCATCTCATGCTGCCAGAGCGCAGTCTGTTCAGTGCCTTCCAAGTTGCCCAGTCCTCTGTGTGCCCAGGGGGGGAGTCTCTCATTTGGTATCAGCCATTGGTTGAGGTTCTGGGTTTGAGTCTGCCGCTTTTGGACTCTCGCTTGCAGAGGTGTTCCAGCGAGTGTCTCTGTAGATCTTAGAAAACTATTTCTTGATTTAAGTCGTTGACGTGCTGGCTGATACCCAAACAAGGGATGAGATGGAGATGCCACTGCCTTGGTCCTTTCACTATTGAAATTACACTGTTTAGCTGGTATTGCACCACCTGACATCCACCAGGAAGTAGCCGCCAATAGTTTGTTTGAGATGAGAAAATAGTATTACTTAAATCCAAGGAGTAGGATTTGGAACAAAAAGAGTTTGGAGCAAGCGGAACCCACGTTGTATCAGGCAACGTCCTTTGTTGGAAGACAATCCCGCAGTGCCATCTATGGAAGCCTCCCTATGGTAACTGGAACCCCATCGGCCTATTGACATGGCTGGAATGCCAAGGGCATCTTCAGAACCCAGGCAGAAAAGAAGGTCGGACCCCTTCCTAGTGGTTGGGGTCCGGTTGAGCAGATCCCATTTCTTCCTTTGGAGCCATTAGGTTGCAGGATGATGGTTTAGATTCCACCAAGTTGGGTGAGACAGGTGGATCTCCAACTAGATCCCTCCCATCACCCAAAAGACTTATTGGAGAGATCTCCTTGGACTTGGATACACAGTTGGAAAAACCTGATTACCTTCTCCTCCCCTGGTTGTCCTTCTCCAACCAAGGGTCCTTTCCCTATCACAAAAGTATTCTTGAGGATTTGGGGCTGAGCACCAAAACGGAACCATGGTGGAACATTCAGCCTCCACGCCGTACGTCTCGGTGATGGATCAATACGGCTACCAAATCGGCAAAGTGATTGGGCACGGCTCCTACGGCACCGTCTATGAGGCCTATTTCGCCAAGCAGAAGACCATGGTGGCCATCAAGATAATCTCCAAGAAAAAGGCCTCAGAGGATTACCTCTCCAAATTCCTCCCAAGGGAAATACAGGTGGTTTACCTTTATGTGTTGGGTGAGGTTGGATCAGGCATGGGCAAACTTTGGCCCACCGGCTGTTTTGGACTTCAACTCCCACAATTCCTAACAGCCGGTAGGATTGGATGGGGATTCTGGAGCTTATGTCATGATGAAATATGAGGTATGGTTTGAATGGAATTGTATGAAAGATGAATGAATGAGAACTAATAATTTTGAAGACACCATTCCTGGAAAACAACTGCCTGCTTGCTGAACTGTAATCAAAAGTTGCTGAACAGCTGACATTGATAAGAACTGTGACAATGATTAACTGTTTTGGGGGAAACAATGTGTTTACATTATCAGAGACAATGGTTAAGGAAATGTTTACAAGGAAGTCTACACAAGGCTGCTTATATCGATACCAATTATGAAGAGTCAACATTTGTCCAGGAACTGATGATATCAACATATTTCAGACTGGAAAAACATCTATCAATGATTTACAATTTTGGAATGACATCCCCTATTTCCCTGAAAATAAGACATCCCCTAAAAATAAGACCTAGTAGAGGTTTTGCTGAATTGCTAAATATAAGGCCTTCCCACAAAGTAAGACCGAGCAAAGTTTTTGTTTGGAAGCATGTCCGCCCAACAGAACATCAAAGCATGCATTGAATAAATCTTGCTTTGTGTCTATAAATATCGGGATCAGTAAATGTACCATAGATTTCTGTACATGGAAATAATGGCAGCAACAAGACATTTTTGATTGATGAAACCTAGGATCATGTTGGCTTTTTTAGCTTGATAGGATTCACAGTTTGTCTGGTTATGCTGATTTGTGATGACAACTACTGTACAGTATGTAATAAATGTTAATTTTTTGTTCAACAATACATATGAATTCTTCTTCATGGAATTCATATGAATTCTTCTTCATGGAAAAGTAAGACATCCCCTGAAAATAAGACCTAGCACATCTTTGGGAGCAAAAATTAATATAAGACACTATCTTATTTTCGGGGAAACGGGGTACAACATCAGCAAGGAAATATTGCTATGTAAGAGACCTTATTACAACCCAAAAATTGTGACAGCGGCGCTGTTCACCTGCCATGCTGTATGGAAAGAGATGGTGCATGCCTCTTTTTCTCAAGGGAAGAGAAAGGGGTGTGATTTTGGAGTTTTGGATTTTGTGCAGAGAGTCAGGTTCTGCTGTATGGAAAATGGGGGTCTGATACTTGGCATTTTGCTTAGGGAAAGGCTGCATTTTGGCATTTAGGAGTTTTGGAAATATGCATTGACAGATTTTCAGGAAAGCAAGGTCTGGTCCAAGAAATGTTCTTCTCCAAGGAGGGAGAAAAGGTATGGTAATATTTTTATGCATGAGGATGAATGAATGTATAAGTGAGATTGTTTATGAATCCAATGTAGTTACATAGAATCTGTATATCTATAAAAGTTCTGATACCTTTTCTCTTACTGGAAAATTACTGGAAAATGGAAGAAGGAATATGAGATTGGTTATGATTCCACTATGAGACGAAGCGGATTTTTAGTGTAGTTTTTGTAATTGTTATGTAGTTTATATGCTGTTGTAATTGCCTTTTTGTAAATTGTCTTTTATATGTGTGTACACCGCCATGAGTCGCCCTAAAGGGCTGAGAATGGCGGTTAATAAATGCATCAAATAAATAAATAAATAAATAAATAAAATTGCAATAAAAAGAACCTATGCTTTAAAGGTATTAAAAAGTTATTGATAACATTTGTAGTCCGAAAAGCAAACATGAATTGGATATTGACACTGCAAAAGGCAGAAAGGGACATAGCGTAGGTTTAACCCTGAATCCGTTTCTCCTTTCCAGGTGATGAAGAGTCTGCGCCACAAATACGTAATCAGTTTCTACCAAGCCATCGAGACCACCTCCCGCCATTATATCATCATGGAGCTGGCACCCTGCGGGGATGTCTTGGAGTGGATCCAGAAGTCGGGCGCTTGCTCCGAGGCCCTGGCGGGGAAGTGGTTCTCCCAGCTGGCCCTGGGCATCGCCTACCTGCATGGCAAGGGCATCGTGCACCGGTCAGCAAAGGGGCAACTTGGGCTCTGGTTGGGTGGCAAAGCCATGAGTCCTGGCTGGAATGCGAGAGTTGGAAAAGACCCCAATGGCTGTCCTGTCCAACCTCTTGCCATTCAGGAAGATACAATGCAAGCCCTCCTGACAGTTTATTTAACATTTAGTTAAATAAGCAGAAGTGTTTGAATGTGTTGAGATTAATTTCACAATTCAGCAGCAGATCAGTTGCACAACTTCAGCGCTTTCCAGTAGCTTCTTCCTACACAGTATTTTCAGTCAACTGCTTCCACAGCCTGCAGTCACTCTGGAACCTTTTACAGACACTTGAGCACATGCCTGGCCATTGTCAGTTTTACCATTGTCTTTCCCCCAGTCTAGATGATATTACAAACTTACCACAGCATACAGTTATATCTTGTCTTAGCAGACAGGTTCCTTTAAACAATTACATAGAGCCTTCGACGAACAACATCACAGCACAAGGAGAGGAATATACACTGTACATGACTTCCTTATATACAATTCTATACAATTTCACATAGCAATCTCTGATTGGTTCCCAACTCATTAACTTAACTCAGACCCAGGATTACATCATTCACAATCACCTGGACTAGGCCAGAACACATTCCCCAAATGATTCCCTATATACAGTTAATGCATGACTCAGCATTTCCAATAGCCCATTAGCAGCAGTGCATGACTCAGCTATATTACATTACAATACATTGTAAAACCTGACAGGATGGTGTCTTGCTGCCTGGAAGAAAAGGGTCAGTTTGGATGGTCCTTTAGATGTCTTCCAACCCTATATTACACTATGATTCTTTGAGATCTCCAGCCAGATCAGTCCTGTTTCCAAGTTCTGTCTTTGCAGTGAATGTCACTCTTTGATTCTCGCAGGGACCTCAAGCTGGAGAACCTCCTCCTGGATAAGCGGGAGAACATAAAGATCTCAGACTTTGGTTTTTCCAAGATTGTGACCCCGCAGACGCAGCCGCCCCCGACTCCTTCCTACCGCATGATGAGCTGCTTCTCCCACCTGAGCCAGACCTACTGCGGCAGCTTCGCCTACGCCTGCCCGGAGATCCTCCTGGGGCTGCCCTACAACCCCTTCCTCTCCGACATCTGGAGCATGGGGGTCATCCTCTACACCTTGGTGGTGGCCCACCTGCCCTTCGATGACACCAACCTCAAGAAGTTGCTCCGCGAGACCCAGAAGGAGGTCAACTTCCCAAGCCACCTCCAGATCAACGAGGAGATAAAGGTGAGGATGGCCCACCTGTAGACCTTACAACAGGCATGGGCAAACTTTGCCCCTCTAGGTGTTTCGGACTTCAACTCCCACAAATTGTGGGAGTTGAAGTCCAAAACACCTGGAGGTCCCAAGTTTGCTCAGGCCTGCTCTGAGTATATTGTCTGAAGGGTTTGGAGAACTTTGGATCTAAACATGCAGCTTTTTCTACCTGATATCCTGACTGAGGGATTTAACGTCTACATGAAACCGCTGGGAGATATTCCTAATTCCATACAATATTTAATGCATTTTTAAAAATACTAGCTAGACTCCCAGTAATAAAAAAATCACCTTCAGGCTATGTGTATATATGAAACATGAATTAATTTCACGTTTAGACCTGAATCCTATCTTCAAGATTTCTTTTTTCTGTGTATTTATCTATGCAAATCCAGGTATTGCAAAATATTTCTGGTCTCATGCATTTCAGATAACACATACTCAACCTGGATTAAGACTGTTCGTAACAACATCTAAAGCAAGTCTGATCTTGGAGTGTTAAGAATGGGAGCGTCAAGTTTAGTAATGTTTAAGGCAGGCATGGGTACATTTTCTAACTTGGGGACCACATGCTAACACTCCCTACTAGGAGCACTGGCTTCCTGGTGATGAAGGAAGGGGAGGAAAGAGAGAAGGAAGGAAGGAGGAAAGGGAGGAAGAGAATGATGGAAGGAAAGAGAGAAGGAAGGAAGGAGAAAAGGGAGGAAGGAAGGAAAGACAAAAGCAAAGGAAGCAAGGGTGGAAGGGAAGGATGGATGGATGGAAGGAAGGGAAGGAGGAAGGAAAGAGAGAAGGAAGGAAGGACAAAAGAGAGGAAGGGAAGGATGGAAGGAAGGAAAGAAGGAAGGAAGGAGGAAAGGAACAGAAGGATGGAAGGAGAAAGAGGGAGAGAATGAGAGAGGGAAGAAGGGAGAAAGGGGAAGAAAGGAAAGACAAAAGAGAAAATAGGATGAAAGGGAGGAAGATAAGAATGGAAGGAAGGGAATGAGGAGGAAAAGAGAGAAGGAAGGACAAAATGGAGGAAGGAAAGGATGGAAGGAGAAAGAGGGAAAGAAGGAAAGACAAAATGAAGGCAGGAAGGATGAAAGAGTGGAAGGGAAGGATGGAAGGAAGGAAAGGAAGGAGGAAGGAAGGAAAGAGAAGAAAGGGAGGGAGGAAGATAGATAAGGATGGTAGGAAGGGAAGGATAAAGGAAAGAGAGAAGGAAAAGCAAAATGGAAGGGAGAAAGGAGAAAGAGGGAGAGGGAGGGAGGGAGGGACAGAGGGAGGAAGGAAGGAAGGAAGGAAGGAAGGAAGGAAGGAAGGAAGGAAGGAAGGAAGGAAGGGAGAACAAAAGGGTGGAAGGGAAGGATGGAAGGAGAAAGAGGGAGGGGAGGGAGGGAAGGAGGAAGGAGAGAGAGAAGAAAGGAAAGACAAGAGATAGGGAAGGAGAGAAGGATGAAAGGGAAGAAGTAAGGGAAGGAGGAAGGACAAAAGAGTGGAAGGGAATGGAGGGAGGGAGAAAGAGGGAAGGGGGGAAAGAGAAGGAAAGACAAAAGGGAAGGAAGGAAGGAGAAAGGGAGAGAGAGAAGGAGGAAGAATGAAAGAATGGAAGGGAAGGAAGGAGGGAGGGAGGAGGAGGGAGGTGAGAGAAGGAAGGAGGAAGAAAGGAAAAATAGGACGGTGAGAGAGAGCGGGGCCTGAGAAAAGAGCCCAATGGTCCTCATCCGGCCCCTGGGCCTGGGTTTGCCCATATCTGGTTTAAGGCCTCATAAATTCTCTTTTTTAGGATTCATCTGCAATGCAGAATGAATGTAGTTTTAAACCACGTTCCCTGCCAATGCAATTGAATGCTTGGAGTTGTAGTGTGGCAAAGGACCAGCACACTTCAACAAAGAAGACCTTGCAAAAGTACAGTTCCCAGGGATTCCATCGCATTGAGTCATGGTGAACCTTCTCTGGATACCTTCCAGCTTGTCCATCTACTTCTTGAATTGCTTTGCCCAGGACTGGTCAGATTATTATTCCAGGGGAAGGTTTGACCAAAACAGAACAGAATAGGGCTACGACCATTCCTTTGACCAACACTCCTATTGATGCATCCTGGAATTGTGTTGGCTTTTCTGAGGTGCTGCATCCTTTTGATGGTGTCTATCTTGCCTTTCCGGCAATCTCCTAGGAGCTGGTCCATCGCATCCTCCGCCCGGCTTCGAAGCGCCTCAACATCTTGGAAGTCCTCAAGGTGCAGTGGGTCATCAAATTCCTTGCTGAGAAGCCCACCACGGAGCTCAAGGCCCTGGAAGCCATCTGCGGACCCCGGGCCTCTGAGTCCTTGAAGAACGCCAACCTCAGCACTAAATCCCGCTCCCTGACTTTCGCGCCGGACAAAAAAAAGGCCGCCAGCCGTACGCGCAGCACTGGGCAGATCAAGGGCTCCAAAAACACAGAGAAAAGCAGCTAAGGAGGGGTGCATTAAAAACAAAAGACTCTTTAAGGCAAAGTTGTTGGCGGTTCATGTTTTTCTGGGCTCAGTGCTTACCTTCAATGGCTGGGGAGTGTGCAAACCAGAAACAAATACAGCCAAACACGGGGGAAACCTGAGAAATGTAACATAGAGCAGAGGTCCTTTATCAGGAATGAGCAGGAACAAGGTTTGGGATATCACCTTTTCATGGAATCATAGTTGGAAAATACTCCCAAGTCCAACCCCATATTGCCATGCAGGATCACACAATTGAAGCACTCCCGACAGGTGGCCTTCCAGCCTCTGCTTCAAAACATCTAGAGAAGACTTGATTTTTGTGAATTGATGTCATCGACATTGTACAATCGGTAAGCTGGCTGCACCCTTTGTCAGAGATACTGAAGACCTTGTAAAACTACAGCTCCCATGATTCTATAGCATTGACACAACTTTAAGAGCTGTGACTGAATGCTATGGATACAGCTTTAAATGTTCAGACTAAAACCCAGAATGGATTCACCACTCTGATATAGAAAATGTGACTGTCTGCTAAACTAGTTTATTTATACTAGAACAGTGGTTCTCAACCTGGGGTCCCCAGATGTTTCTGGTCTACAACTCCCAGAAATCCCAGCCAGTTTACCAGCTGTTAGGATTTCTGGGAGTTGAAGGCCAAAAACATCTGGGGACCTCAGGCTGAGAACCACTGTACTAGAATGAACGGAGTCTGATGTCACTATAACTTCCATGGCGCAATGGTATGGATCCTTGGGAGTTGTAGTTTGGCAATGCATTACAGCAGTGGTTCCCAGGAGCCCCCCATGGCCCGATGGGTTAAACCCTTGTGCCGGCAGAACTGAAGATCGACAGGTCAGAGGTTCAAATCCAGGAAGACCGTGGATGAGCTCCCTCTGTCAGCTCCAGCTCCCCATGCAGGACATGAGAGAAGCCTCCCACAAGGATGGTAAAACATCAAAACATCTGGACACCCCCTGGGCGACGTCCTTGCAGATGGACAATTCTCTCACACCAGAAGCAACTTGCAGTTTCTCAAGTCGCTCCTCACACACACACACACGTGGTTCCCAACCTTTTTTTGACCAGGGACTACTTTGACCAGGGACCTCTCTCCAACGTGAGTACCAAAAGGGTTACGAATCAGTTTTTGGTCAACTTTTGATTCAGTTTGGGGTGCTGATTCAGAAAATTGCATTGGATAGACCACATCGGCTCTAGTTTCTGATACAGAACATATGTCATGGTCAGTGACAGGGAAAAAGTGGTAGGTGGCGCAAAAGGAGTGGAAAGAAAGTAAATAAAATCTAATAAATAAATAAAGATCAGATTTTCATCCTCACGGCCCACATGTAAAGAACCACTGAATTACAGTATTTAGCACAGACTAGAGATCTTGTAGAATAATAACTCCAATGATTCAATAGCACTGAGCTGTGATAATTCAAGTGGTGTCAAACCTCATTCATTCTACCCTAGTGTGACTCCAGATAACAAGTGGATCTGTACTTTCTGCCCGCTCCATAAATGAAACCAAATCTAGCACTAGACAAGCCTTGTAAAAGGTTTTCCCCTGACAATAAAGTCCAGTCGTGTTCGACTTTGGGGGTTGGTGCTCATCTCCATTTCTAAGCTGAAGAGCCCGCATTGTCCATAGACACCTCCAAGGTCATGTGGCCAGCATGACTGCATGGAGTGCTGTTACCTTCTCGCTGGAGCAGTACCTATTGATCTCACATTTGTATGTTTTCGAACTGCTAAGTTGGCAGAAGCTGAACCTAGCAGCGGAACCTCACTCTGTCCCGCGGTTTCGAACCACCAGCCTTTTGGTCAGTAAGTTTATTTATTTATTTATTTATTTGCTGCATTTGTTAACCGCCGCTCTCAGCCCTAGGGCGACTCGCGGCGGTGTACAACATATAAAAACAGTATACAATAAAGCACAACAAAATCAACATATCACTAATACACACTAAACTAATTACACTAAGCTAATCCGCATCGTCACACATAGATTCATTACCAATCTCATAGTCCATATTCCGTTCCAATTGTCATTACCAGTTAGTATAGCACTCAGTTAAATGCCTTTTCAAATAGCCAGGTCTTTAGGCTCTTACGGAAAGCCATAAGGGAGGGCGCCTGTCTGATGTCAACAGGGAGGGTGTTCCACAGCCGGGGGGCCACCACCGAGAAGGCCCTTTCTCTCGTCCCCGCCAGACGTGCCTGTGAGGCAGGCGGGATCGAGAGAAGGGCCTCCCCAGACGATCTCAAGGCCCTCGTGGGCTCATAGGCCGAGATGCGGTCCGAAAGGTATTTTGGGCCGGAACCGTTTAGGGCTTTGTAGGATAACACCAGCACCTTAAATTGGGCCCGGTAGCAAATCGGCAGCCAGTGGAGCTGGGACAACAAGGGCGTTGTGTGCTCCCTGCGTCCTGCTCCTGTTAGTAACATGGCTGCCGCGCGCTGGACTAGCTGAAGCTTCCGGGCCGTCTTCAAGGGCAGCCCCACGTAGAGAGCGTTGCAGTAGTCAAGGCGGGATGTGACCAGAGCGTGTACCACCGTGGCCAAGTCAGACTTCCCAAGGTACGGGCGCAGCTGGCGCACGAGCCTAAGCTGTGCAAATGCTCCCCTGGTCACCCCTGAAACCTGGGGATCCAGGCTCAAAGATGAATCCAGGGTCACACCCAAGCTGCGAACCTGCGCCTTCAAGGGGAGTGCGACCCCGTCCAGCACAGGCTGTAACCCTATACCCTGTTCGGCCTTGCGACTGACCAGGAGTACCTCTGTCTTGTCTGGATTTAGTTTCAGTTTGTTCGCCCTCATCTAGACCGTAACAGCGGCCAGGCACCGGTTCAGGACCTTGACAGCCTCCTTAGTAGCAGGTGGAAAGGAGTGACAGAGTTGGACACAGTTTCAGCAGTTTAACCCACTGTGCAATAACCCTTTAATTTGTATTCTGCCCTATCTCCCCGAGGGGACTCAGTGCGGATTCTAGTATACGCAAACACAAAGGCAAACATTCTGAAACACAGATAAAGGTAAAGGCTTTTGGCTCTGTGGGGTGCATCTCCATTTCTAAGCCGAAGAACTGGTGTTGTCCATAGACACCTCCTAGGTCATGTGGCCAGCATGACTGCATGGAGCGCCCTTACCTTCTCACTGGAGCAGTATCTGATTAAAAAAATCAAACCATAAAAGGTAAAGGTTGTCCCTTGACATTAAGTCCAATCGTATCTGACTCTGGGGTGTGGTGCTTATCTCCATTTCTAAGCCGAAGAGCCGGCATTGTCCATAGACACCTCCAAGGATATGTGGTCGGCATGACTGCATGGAGTGCCCTTACCTTCTCGCTGGAGCAGTACCTATTGATCTACTCACATTTGCATGTTTTCGAAATGCTAGGTTGGCAGAAGCTGGGGCTAACAGTGGGAGCTCACCCCACTCCCTGGATTCGAACCTGCAACCTTTCGATCAATAAATTCAGCAGCTTAACCTACTGTGCCACTGGGGGCTCCAGACAAGCCTTGAGACAACCGCAAAAGAAAGCAGTAAAAGAAAGCAATATTTGGATAATAATTGTTCCCTTTTTTAGTGACAAAAAGAGCAGATTCCTTTGTTTTCCTGGCCAAACTTTATTTTTATCAGGGCACCGAGAGGGACAGAGCAAAAAGGCCATTGGAGTAGATCTGTGCGTACGGAGAAGTCCATCTCTCTGGGCTCTGCCTTCCCCGGCCCTCGACCAGAAGTAGAGACGAAACGGAAAAGTGTAAAACTCAAGACGGACGCACCCGAAGACGGAGAGGAAGGAAGGAAGGAAGCTTTTTAAAAAATCGTTAGCAGGTTAGCACACCAAAGTGTAAAAAGAGCCAAAAAACGGACGTGTAAACATCAACTCCAAGCCACACGAACCGACACGCCGCCGACAGAACAGACGAAGAAGAAGAAGAAGATAGTACCGGTTACCCAACGCCCCTAGCAGCTCTGGAATGCTTGACAATAATCCCCCAACCCAACCAACTCCCCAAATACAGTCTTGCTTGGCACAATGGAAACATCCCCCCCCCCCCAAAAAAAAGAAACACTCCCCAATTCCTCCACCCCAGTTGGCAGCATTCGGTCGACATGCCTACTTACGGTACGAAAAAGGATATGGGCACGAAAGACCTGCATACCAAGTACAACTTCTGGGGTGTTTGTGTTTGAAAGGGGGGAGAATGAAGGCATGAGAGACAAACCCCGCTCCATATAGAAGTGATTCCCCATCGTTTGACGCCCCAATTCCATGCCGCACAGATAAGGTGCAACTCTGAATCCTCCCCAGGATTGTTTTTGGAGCTTTCCAGAGTACGTCCCTTCCCACATTTACCGGGAAAGGATTATCCTCGGTTTTAGAAAAGGCCAAGAATCAAGACTCTTCAATGTTTTGGTGTCTTAATTCTGGATTTCTTTCTTTTTTCTTCTTATTTTCGATCCCACTGCAACCCACCCCAACAATACAATCTTTTCATATACAGTATATAGATGTTTGAGTGTGTGTGTGTGCATTTATATTTATATATATATAAATCTGTCTATAAAACTCTTTACATTCGGCACGTAAGGTCATCTCAGGAAGGGTGTCTTATTGCCAGCACCCCTCCTGGTGTCTGGAATTGGAGGAGGAGGAGGGGGGAAAAGAGGTCCTCTCCACCTCTGCCCCCCTCCCCTAAGAAAACAAAACAATCGCAAAGAGAGAGGGAAGGTGGGCCATTTCCCACAACGCATCACGACACCCAGGCGGCAAGCTGCTTCATGTCTTCGTCGTCATCGTCCACAGCGGCGGCTGGCACTTTGGAGGCTGGCGGAGGGAAAAAGACCAGAAAGTTAGGAAAAATAAAAAAGTTGCCAATTCCATCCCTCCTGTAGAACCCAGCCTCAAATTGTCAGAAATATTAAAAATTAACTAGGTATTTATAATTACAAAAATGTGAGTCAAGCACTGAAAGGATTAAACAGATACAATGATTGAAGAGAGATATTGACATGCTGGAATGTGTCCAGAGGAGGGCGACTAAAATGATCAAGGGTCTGGAGAACAAGCCCTATGAGGAGTCCTCGTGGACCACAAGTTAAACATGAGCCAACAATGTGATGTGGCAGCAAAAAAAGCCAATGGGATTTTGGCCTGCATTAATAGGAGCCTAGTGTCTAGATCTAGGGAAGTCATGTTACCCCTCTATTCTGCTCTGGTTAGACCACACCTGGAATATTGTGTCCAATTCTGGGCACCACAATTCAAGAGAGATATTGACAAGCTGGAATGTGTCCAGAGGAGGGCGACTAAAATGATCAAGGGTCTGGAAAACAAGCCCTATGAGGAGCGGCTTAAGGAGCTGGGCATGTTTAGCCTGAAGAAGAGAAGGCTGAGAGGAGACATGATAGCCATGTATAAATATGTGAGAGGAAGCCACAGGGAGGAGGGAGCAAGCTTACTTTCTGCTGTCCCAGAGACTAGGACACAATGGAACAATGGCTTCAAACTACAAGAAACGAGATTCCATCTGAACATGAGGAAGAATTTCCCGACTGTGAGAGCCGTTCAGCAGTGGAACTCTCTGCCCCGGAGTGTGGTGGAGGCTCCTTCTTTGGAAGTTTTTAAACAGAGACTGAATGGCTATGTGTCAGGGGTGATTGGAATGCAATATTCCTGCTTCTTGGCAGAATGGGGTTGGACTGGATGGCCCCTGAGGTCTCTTCCAACTCTTTGATTCTATGATTCTATGACTGCAGTTCTATATAAGCAGGTGTACCTGTAACTTTGTAGCCCTCAGTCTGTGAGAGGTCTCTGTGGGAAAAGGGCCTCAATGTGTTTCTAGGCCTCAGTGTGAGAAGACCTCAATGTTAGTTCACCTCAGTGTGTTAGAAGGCGTCAGTCTGAGACAGCCCTCAGTGTGAGAAGACCTCAATATTAGTTCACCTCAGTGTGTTAGAAGGCGTCAGTCTGAGAGAGCCCTCAATGTGAGAAGAACTCAGTGTTAGTTCATCTCAGTGTTTTAGAAGGCGTCAGTCTGAGAGAGCTCTCGGTGTGAGAAGAACTCAGTGTTAGTTCATCTCAGTGTTTTAGAACGCGTCAGTCTGAAAGAGCCCTCAGTGTGAGGTAGGCCTCAGTATGAGTAGGCCTGGTGTGAGAAGCTTCGGTGAGAGAAGCCCGAGGTTGAAGGTCATCATGTGCAAAGCTCCAGTGTGAAGGCTCCTGTGTGTAAAAAGCAACTGTGTGAAACTTCTGTATAAGTTCGTTGTGAGAAGAGGCTCTGTGAGAGCAAAGCTGTCAATCTGAATGAGGAAGAAACCCAGCGTGGAAGCAAAGAAGGAAGTATAAATAAAGAAAAGCCTCCAATGGAAGACATAACATTAGTCTGTGTGTTTTTGTTCTTTTTATCACTTAAAATAGCATGACACTGGGTCATGCAATTGCTAGTAAGTTACTCTGCTGTACATTCATGGGGAGGGTCTTTTGTGAATAAGCCCTCCCCCGCAACATCAATTAATTCCCCACAACCTATATTTTACTTTGTGTCTTCAAGTCTGGCTTAAGGTATGGAAAATGGCCTAAAACGTAACAAAGACACGATTTAACATTCAGTTGGCATGGCTACTTATGGTACAAAAAAGGAAAGGTACACACTGAATTTAAAAATCAATTTTATCAGGCAACCGAACATCCCCTACGGATCCCTCATCATCAATGTACAAGGATGGGTGTTTTGTTTTGTAATTCTACATCTATAATGTGAATGGGGATGGCTTTTAATTTTGTTGTACAAAGTACAATGACAATCAAGTTATTCTATTCTATCACTGCCACTTCCAGCTCAAATACACACTGCATAATGGGGAAAAACATGACTTAAGATTCAGTTGGCATGCACGCACGAATAAGATAAGGGACACAGTGAATTTGAAAATCCATTTTAAATTAAAGGTAAAGGTTTTCCCCTGACATTAAGTCCAGTTGTGCCCAACTCTGGGGGTTGGTGCTCATCTCCATTTCTAAGTCGAAGAGCCAGCATCGTCCATAGACACCTCCAAGGTCATGTGGCTGACATGGCTGCATAGAGAGCCGTTACCTTCCCACTATTGATCTACTCACATTTGCATGTTTTCAAACTGCTAGGTTGGCAGAAGCTGGGGCTGACAGCGGGAGCTCATGCTGCTCCCCGGATTCGAATCTGCAACCTTTTGGTCAACAAGTTCAGTAGCTCAGTGGTTTAACTCACTGTGCCACCAGGGGGTCCTATTTTAAATTTGGCAACCTATATTAATGTCTGAAAAAGATCCCCTACTGATCCCTTGGAACCACCATTCCCATCCTCAAATGCACTGAGTTTGGGAAATTATGGGTTCCAGAATCCTCTCACCAGCATTCTGGGGGTTGCAGTGTCCCAAAAAACTTTTCCAAGCCCAACAGATATGGTCAACATTGACTTCTACTTTTGTAGGGCTCTTTCATACAGCAAATTATAGGATTTTAATTCTACTGTTATAGCTATCTCCCAAACATGGTCAAACTTTGGTCCTTCAGGTGTTTTGGACTTCAACTCCCACAATTCCTAATAGCCTCAGGCCCTGCTACATCTTATGGACTTCTGTGATCTATACATCCAACCTTTCATGTTTGCTGGAATTAGGACACTCGAGAAAGTGGGAAACCAAATAAACAAACACTATTTTAACCTGGGAGAACACCTCTTTATGTTCTCCACTGGCCAGATTTTGATGGGTGCCCTCTTTCTCAGCGTCGTACCTGGCACAGCGGGAAGGCGAGAGGCAGGCACACTGGGAAGTTCTGGGGTGGGTTCCCCGACATTCAACAGCTCCTTGTCCAGGTCTTCCTGTTCCATCTCTTCCAGCTCTGCCAGCAGTTCATCCTGATGGTTGCCAAGACAAGAAGAAAATGGTCAATATAGTCGTCAACACAGACCAGATGCGCCATTTTGCAAGAAAACCCAGCCTTTCCTCCACATTGTCCAGCCCACATGACGAGCATGATTTACACCCCATTTTTTAAATCTCAATGTTGGGATGAAAGACAAGTTGTAAAATGAAACCAAACATGGATTAAACCACACAGGAAAAGAGCATTAAAACATAAGCATGATCAACTTAGAGTAATAACTATGGTATATATATGACACTACATGGGCGTTGGAGAGGCCACCACCCTCCTCCCTTTTATCTCTTCTTTTTTCTTTCTTTTCTTCACTCCCTTCAGATCTTTTCCTTATTTATTTCGCTTCCTTCCTTCCTTCCTTCCTTCCATCCATCCATCCATCCATCCATCCATCCTTTTTCTTTCTTTCCCCTTCTTTCCTTCTCCTTTCCTTACTTTTTCTCTGTCCTCCCTCCCTCCTCATACATGATATCTTTCTTTCCCAGTGATTATCCCACAGGGCCACTTCACCTAGCAAAAGCCAATCAAATGACATTACAGAGGGTCACTTCACCCAGACAGTCTTTATGATACAAACAGACAAACATGCATACATACTTAGAGATATACACACACACAGATAAACACACGCACACAATTTAAATCTGATTCGATTATATGCTATTGTTATTACTATAGCTATTATATAAATTATCTAATTACATTTAAATGTAATTCAATTATTATTGCTACAGGTTCAAATTTGTTCACCAGGGTGGCTAAGATAGTGACACCTTGTCTTTCTGGTTTTTCCATGTACCCACACTTTAACTTCATGCACAAACTAATTAATATTATTGTGAATGAAAGTACCTTGGGGTTGTGTAAAGGATGAGATATATGAAGCAGAAATGAATGATATGTTTAGATTTGGGTCCTATCTCCAAGATTATGTATATGTAAATATTCCAAAATCCATCGGGCAAAAATATCTGAAACTATGAACACTTCTGCATTTTTGATAAAGGATGCTCAACTTGTATTATTGCCATGATTGGTTGGTATTCAGTACTTCAGTTATGGATCTGTATCTCAGATGAATTGAGTAGGATTATGCAGTCTTACTGTAAGGTAAAGGTTTCCCTTTGACATTATGTCAGTGTTTCTCAACCTGGGGGTTGGGACCCCTGGAGAGGTCGTGAGGGGGTGTCAGAGGGGTCACCTAAGACCATCAGAAAACACAGTATTTTCTGTTGGTCATGGGGGTTCTGTGTGGAAAGTTTGACCCAATTCTATTGTTGGTGGGGTTCGTAATACTCTTTGATTGTAAGTGAACTATAAATCCCAGCAGCTACAACTCCCAAATGTCAAGTATCATTTCCCCAAACGCCACCAGTGTTCACATTTGGGCATATTGAGGATCTGTGCCAAGTTTGGTCCAGATCCATCATTGTGTGAGTCCACTGTGCTCTCTAGATGTAGGTGAACTACAATTCCCAAACTCAAAGTCAATGCCCACCAAAATCTTCCAATATTTTCTATTGGTCATGGGAGTTCGGTATGCCAAGTTTGGTTCAATTCCATTGTTGGCGGAGTTCAGAATGCTTTTGATTGTAGGTGAAGCCCAGTAACTATAACCCCCAAATGACAAAATCAACCCCATCAGTATTCAGATTTGGGCATATTAGGTATTTGTGCCAAATTTGGTCCAGTGAATGAAAACACATCCTGCATATTGGATATTTACATTCTGATTCATAACAGGAGCAAAATTACAGTTATGAAGTAGCAACGAAATTAATGGTTGGGGGTCACCACAACATGAGGAACTGTATTTAGGGGTCGCAGCATTAGGAAGGTTGAGAAACACTGCATTATGTCTAGTCGTGTCCGATTCTGGGGGGTGGTGCTCATATACATTTCTAAGCCGAAGAGCCGGCGTTGTCCATAGAAGCCTCCTAGGTCATGTGGCCAGCGTGACTGCATGGAGCACCGTTACCTTCTCGCTAAAGCGGTACCTATTGATCTACTCACATTTGCATGTTTTCGAACTGCTAGGTTGGCAGAAGCTAGGGCTAACAACGGGAGCTCACCCTGTCCATGGATTCCAACCGCTGACCTTCTGCGCCACTTAGTCTTACTGTAAAGCCTATGTAAATGCTAGCACAGACCCTTCCTAAAGTAGACACCTCACAAAGCTTCCTTCCTTCATTACCTCATCAACATCATCTCCAAAGCCAACTGGTTTTGAAATGGCGTCAGAAATCTGCTGGGCAATGTCCTGTTGCTCTGTGATTTCGGCCATCAGATCGTCCACCTTGTCAATGTCCCTAAAGATGGAGGGAGACAAAAGAGAGAGGGGAAGGGCTCTTTTTATAGCTGGATCAAAAACGTAGGCTGCAAATAATAATAACAATAATAATAATAATGGAATATCTCAGAGTTCCAGATATATTATGTATTTCCATCTGGAGGCATTCTTAATATGCATTTAACTAGCAGACTTTATTAAAATCTCTATCTTCTATTTGTTCTGTTTTTGGTGAAGTATTTCACCAAATATTATTATTATTATTATTATTATTATTATTATTATTATTATTATTATTATTATTATTTGCATTTATTACCCAAGGCAGGGTACAACAGTTATTAAAATACATAAATAAAACATAATAATTCACATATTAAAGACTTCAAGTACATTGCCTTCTCACTAGAAGACATGAAAACCAAGGCAACTTGGAATGCTCTTTAGAAACTGCAGAATTCAAATGCAATTCCTAGCAAAATTCCAAGTTGGATTCAATTCTATTGAATGGGTAAGGCAGGATGGCCATTTCCTGAACTGTGGTTGTTGGGGAGGATGGGAATTGTAGTCCAACACCTGCACAACTGGAGAATCTTAGATTGGGAAAAAGTGAAACTATACAAAATTTCAGTTGCTGGATCCATATGCAAATCTAGTAATGGCTATGGATGGGAGTTGGATGGGAGTTGGAGTCATGGCCACTGGGCTCCTTTTGAACCAATATTTCTATTAAAAATAATATTACTTTGAGGGATTTTGTAACCCCAACTTCTCTTCCAAGAAGTCTTAGAAAAGCCATGATAGCCATGATTAAATATTTAAAGGGATGTCACATTGAGGAGCAGGAAAGCTGGTTTTCTGCTACCTGCAGACGTGGGTGTCAGAAATATTAAAAATTAACTAGGTATTTTTGATTAGAAAACTCTGAGTCAAGCACTAAAGAGAGTGAGTAGGCTGAAGCCTGTTAGAGTCAGTGGGCCAAAGCTAATGTTCTGAGGAGAGCGAGTAGGTCAAAGCCTGTTAAGAGTCAGTGGGCCAAAGCTAGTGTTGTCCTGAGGAGAGTGAATAGGCCAAAGCCTGTTAGAATCAGTGGGCCAAAGTTAGTGTCATCCTGAGGAGAGTGAGTAGGCCGAAGCCTGTTAAGAGTCAGTGGGCTAAAGCTAGTGTCGTCCTGAGGAGAGTGAGTAGGCCGAAGCCTGTTAGAATCAGTGGGCCAAAGTTAGTGTCATCCTGAGGAGAGTGAGAAGGCCGAAGCCTGTTAGAGTCAGTGGACCAAAGCTAGTGTCGTCCTGAGGAGAGTGAGAAGGCCGAAGCCTGTTAAGAGTCAGTGGGCTAAAGCTAGTGTCATCCTGAGGAGAGTGAGTAGGCCGAAGCCTGTTAGAGTCAGTGGGCCAAAGCTAATGTTGTCCTGAGGCAAGTGAGTAGGCCGAAGCCTGTTAGAGTCAGTGGGCCAGAGCTAGTGTCATCTTGAGGAATGTGAGGTTAACCTCTGTGTGAGAGAAGCCTTGTGTTTAAAGCTGCAGTGTGGGAAGGCTGCTGCGTAAAGCTACTATGTATTTGTTTATTTGTGTTATAGAAAAGTTGTTATTGTAAATAATGCAACTATATTATTTTACTACAAAGACAAGCCTCCTATGGAAAAGATAGCATTGGTCTGTGTGTTTTGTTCTGTTTATCACTTTGAGCTACTGGTGCTGGGTCACGCTGCTGCTAATAAGTTACTCTGGTATACATTCATGAGAAGGGTCTTTTGTTAATAAGCCCACTCGCCCAACAATGGACACAGAGCAATGGATTCAAATTGCCGGAAAAGAGATTCCAATGAAACATTGGGAAGAACTTCCTGATGTTAATGAAGGAGTGCGAGTGGAATATGCCGCCTAGGATTCAAATTGAGTCTCCTTCTGTGGAGGCTTTTAAACAGAGGCTGGATGGCCATCTGTCGGGAGGGCTTTGGTGGTGTCTTTCTGCATGATAGGAGTATGGACAAGATGGTCCTTGGGGTACTTTTTGACTCCATAATTCCATGCAGAACATCTTTTTCCAAGGAAAGACCTACATGTGTTGGTGAGCCTCCTTCATTGCCCGGGCTGCGTCCGACATGGTCTTCAGCACTTCGGTGTTGGTGGTGGCATTCTCCAGCGCTTCCCGCTGGAACTCGATGGTGGAGAGTGTGCCATCAATCTGCCCCAGTTGCTGCTCATAGCGCTTCTTCCTCTTGAGGGCCTGCAGGGCGGCTAGAATTGAGAAAGAAAGAGAAGACACACAAGAGGGTCAACCACAGAGCCACCAAGCCATCAAAACATGGCAGTCGCTGTTTGCTAGATCTCCCACAAACTAATTTTCAGAACTCTGATATTCCTCAGAATCCATCGTTCCTGAATTTCTAGTCCATATGGCATCCTTGAGATGACCCATGCATAGCATGAGGTTGGACTGGATGGTCTCTGTGGTCTTTTCCAATTCTATGGAATATTGTATCCAATTCTGGACACCGAAATTTTGAGGGAAATGTTGACTCTAAGTTGGAATGTGTCCAGAGAAGGGCGACTCCATGATCAAAGGTCTGGAGAACAAGCCCTATGAGGAGTGGCTTAAAGAGCTGGGCATAAAGAGAAGGCTGAGAGGAGACATTATGAGAACCATGGATCAAGATGTGAGGGAAAGTCCTAGGGAGGAGGGAGCAGGCTTGTTTTCTGCTACCCTGGAGACTAGGATGCGGAGCAATGGCTTCAAACTACAGGAAAGGAGATTCCACCTGAACATTAAGAAGAACTTCCTAATTGTGAGAGCTGTTCAGCAGTGGAACTCTTTGCTCCGGAGTGTGGTGAAGGCTCCTTCTTTGGAGGCTTTTGAGCAGAAGCTGGATGGTTATCTGTCAGGAAAATGTGATTTTCCTGCTTCTTGGAAGAGGGTTAGACTGCATGGCCCACAGGATTCCTTTCAACACTATGATTCTATATGGCTATGATTATGAATTCAAATGCAAGAGTCATTTTGCTATGGATTTGGGGTATGAGACTTGGGACTTATTCTGGAAAATGGATCTCCAAAACTGCAGATTTCCAGCACTGCCAAAGGGCTGGATTAAATGTCCATAGAGAACGTATCTCCTGCCACGAACCATCACAAAATTTAAGATCTTCAGGCGAGGCCCTGCTCTCGATCCCACCACTATCACAAACATGGTTGATGGGGACGAGAGACAGTACCTTCTCAGCAGTGGCCCCCCGCCTATGGAACGCCCTCCCTAGAGATACCAGATTGGCCACCTCCCTCTTGTCTTTTAGAAGGAAAATCAAGACCTGGTTATGGGACCAAGCGTTTGATCAGAGAGCAGCAAGTGGAAGATCACACAACTTACAGCAATGAATTGACCCGGACTGGTTTTTGGATTTCGATTTTAATGGATGGACCAAATACTTCATTTGTACCTCTTAAATGCCAGTCAAATGGACATAGATTGGAAAATTATCTTATCAGGGAAATGACACCATTTCCTCAGCCCAATATAGAATGACATGTTGCCCTTTCTATGACAAATACCTCTGATAAGATCTTAATTAAGAACTGACATCATCAAACCCGACTGCCTCCACTCCTCAGTGGAAATCTTATGTGCCGAGTGTACAACTAAAAGCTTTTTTACTTCCTCAATGAATCGGAATTTATAGACATCACCGGTTTTAGATATGGGGAAAATATTCCATCTATCATTCCTTTTAGTGTTCCAGGAAGGAGATTGAATAACTGAAGCAGGATATTCCATCTTAAATAGAAGATACCCTTAGTATCTAGGCATAGTTTGTTCATGATCAGGAGTGCATCTACATTGCAGAAATACATTGGAGAATTAATAGAGTTTGATACTGTTTGAATCACCGTGGCTGTATATGTTCTGTCTTCCAGGAACATAGTTTGCATTATTTTAGTTGCATGGGATAGTGTTCTTTTGCATTTCCCCTGGGCTGCTACAGACCCAGCAGCACCCTGGAAGTTAAACAGTATCAGTCTGCAAAGCCAGACTGCAGGTCCTCTGCAGTTATTGGTTTAGAAAAGTATCTCTTTGGGTCTAGAGACCGCCCTTTTTCCAGGGGATGAGATCTCCATTTTGGAATCTCCCTTGCCTCCTTCAGTAGAGAAAGAAAGCTTCAGATGTGCTGTTGGTCAGCTAGGTAGCTCTGAAAAAATTATTGTAAGTACGATTGAGTGACTGAGTTACATAGATAAAGAAGCTAATTGAGATAGATAGCAATTGAGTTATAGATAGCAAATGAGTTATGGATAGCAATTGAGATATTGAAAAGTTATTGAATATTATTGAGCAGTACTTCATCTCCAAAGCTAACCTTGAGCTATAGATAGGGAAAAACCTGTTTTTCTAACCATAGCAGCTCAGGGTTAGGGTGAAAGGATCCCAGGATATTTTCTACATTTTGGGGAAGAGTTATCTCAGTAACTGAAGAAAAAAGAAAGATCTTCTCTATGATTTCACCAACTGACTGTTTTGTTTGTAACTTTGACAAGCTGTGCCAAGTCTGCAAGGACTTTGAGAAATAAATATTCTGTTTTAATGCTCAAAACCTGTAGTAGCCTCAGTTGCTGGGAATCTCAAGCTTCTAAAGAAAGACCCCCGCGGTCCGCCCAGACAAAGAGAAGCACGTCTTAGTTTTATTTTTATAGGATCTGGGTGTGACGGCACAGTATGCAAATGAAATCATGGGAGATGTAGCTTTATAAGTCCTTCTTTCCCAAAAAGTGCTGGCGCCCCATCGAACTCCAAATACCAGGACTCCATAGAGTTGAGCCAGGGAGTCAAACGACATTTGTTCTACAATGTAGATCAGGCATGGCAATTCCTGGCCTCAGGCTCTTTCCTTTCCCCCCTCAGCCACTTAAGCGGCTGAGGGGGAAAAGGAATGGGCCTGAGGCCAAGAATTGTGGGAATTGAAGCCCAAAATACCTGGAGGGCCAAAGTTTGCCCATGCCTGATGTAGATGCATCCTAATGATCAGAGGAAGCCTATCAGTGAAGATACTTTACTAGGTGGCAACAATGGGAAAACACCCACTCATATTTCTGTTCCAGATTTCAACAAAGGAACACGTCAACAAATGATTAACTGCATAAATCAGTCTCCTATCTATCTATCTATCTATCTATCTATCTATCTATCTATCTATCTATCTATCTATCTATCTATCTATCTACACATATATATAGGAGACTGATTCATGCAGTAATCATTTGTTGACATATATAAAATCTTTCTTTTTTAATGTATAAAGAAATGGAGTATGCTCTTTGTTTATACAACTCTTGCAGAGAGAAAGAAGGATCAGATGGTAGCTCCTGACAAAGGAGCCAATTGCATCACAGCTAGTTTCACTTTCCTAAGCAAAATATTAACCCACAATTGCCTTCTCATTTTGGGCTGGGCCTCCTCTTGAAGCCTCTAGTTATGGCCTTGGCAGAGCTTGGGAAAGTGCCTCTTTTTGGGGGGAACAGAACTTCCAGAATCTTCCAGCCAGTATGGTCAGGAGCATTCTGGGAGTTGTAGTCCAAAAAACCAAAACAAAAGACCAGATTGGCCTTTTGGGCTGGGCCTTCTGTTGAAGCCACTAGTTATCTTTTTGGCAGAGCTTGGGAAAGTTCCTCTTTTTGGGTGAACTGAGCTTTCAGAATCATCCAGCCAGCATGGTCAGGAACATTCTGGGAGTTGTAGTCCCCTCCAAAAATATTGCTTAAACCAAAACAAAAGACCAGACCAGATTGGCATTTGGTCTGATTTTCTACCTATGTTTTTAAGGAATTTCTTCAGCATTGTATAGAAAGAAAACAAGTGAATAAAACAAGCATGCTAACCTCCAGCATTGTTTTTTTCTTGTCAAACTACAACTCCTAGGATTCCACTGAGCCATGACAGTTAAAGACTAGTGCCAAAATGCATTAATTCTGCAGTGTAGATTTATTTTTGTAATGTGCTGTTTCTAGGTGAACTGATATTGTCATTGTCTAACATGTTGGTGTGATTTTACCAGTATTTTATGCGTTTATGGCACTTATATGTGCTTCTGTAAGCCACCCCGAGTCCTTTTTGGGAGATGGTAGCAGGGTATTATTATTATTATTATTATTATTATTATTATTATTATTATTCCTCTTAAGGCATATCCACAAAGACTTACAACTAATATTACATTATATTAATGCAATATTAGTTGTAAGTCTGTGTGGATATGCCTTAAGAGGAATAATAATAATAATAATAATAATAATAATTATTATTATTATTATACCCTGCTACCATTTCCCAAAAAGGAGATGGTACAACTAATTAAAAAGACAAACTGCTGCTCCTCAAAGTTTCCAGGAGAGGGAATTCATAAGGATTTTTTTTAGTGATTAAAAAGTTAGGAACTCTAGTAGAATCCAGGGCCACAACTCCTGCCATGAAGGACGACAGCTATTTTTTCCATCTCTATTCTATAGTCAAGGAAAGAAAGGCAACCTTTGGTTTCAAACGCCTGCTCTCCCTCCCGCTATGTTCCTTTAATCTCCCTCTCTCAAATAAGAGCTGGCTCTGGAGATATGTGTTAATAATAAAATGCTGCCTCCCAGTCTGGCGGAGGTTTTTAAACAGAGGTTGGATGGCTATCTGTAGAAAGGGTTTTGATTGTCTTTCCGGCTGGATGAATGGGGGTGGACTAGATGGCCTCTGGAGGTCCCTTCCAATTCTATAATTCTGATCCACAAACTCATCTAGTTCATCTTCACCCATGTCTTTCCTCCCCTCTTTAAGACACAGTAATTTTACTTTTGAGCTCTTCCAGACAGGCCCTATCTGATCCTAGTTTTTCTGTTTATCCCAGATTATCTGGCAGTGCGGACTCATATAATCTGGTTTAAAACAGAAAAGCTGGGAATGTGATTTTCCGGCTCCTTGGCACAGGGTTGGACTGGATGGTCCACTAGGTCTCTTCCAATTCTATGATTAGTGGAAGGTTGCGCTCCACAATCCACATCCATTGTCTTCCTTTTGACCCTCTACCTTGTGTATCTATCTATTTATTTACTGTATTTATATACTGCTTTTCTCATCCTGCGGGGGGGGGGTTGGTGCTAAATTTGGAAATACAGTAATTACTGTATTGTCGAAGGCTTTCATGGCCAGAATCACTGGGTTGTTGTAGGTTTTTTCAGGCTATATGGCCATGTTCTAGAGGCATTTCTCCTGACGTTTCGCCTGCATCTATGGCAAGCATCCTCAGAGGTAGTGAGGTCTGTTGGAACTAGGAAAAAGGGTTTATATATCTGTGGAATGACCAGAGAAAGAACTCTTGTCTGCTGGAGCTAGGTGTGAATGTTTCAACTGACCACCTTAATTAGCATTTGATGGCTTGGCAGTGCCTGGGTGAATCTTTTGTTGAGAGGTGATCAGATGTGCCTGATTATTTACTCTCTGTTGTTTTGCTGTTGTAATTTTAGAGTTTTTTAATTAATGGCAAAAATTCAATGCCAACATACATAAAGAAATCATAATAACTAATTACTACTCACAACTATGAATTTAAAATCAATTAAAACCATTAAACATAAAACATACATAACATTGAAACATTCAGACAAGCATAAAATCATCCTAGTATAAACATTAACATCCCATGATCTATCTATATATAAATGCTCTGTGCGTAATGAGTACCTTAAAAACAAAAGAACCAATGAACAAAATCACATCAAATTTGGCAACAAAACGTCTCACAACACAAGGAGTGACCATCACTCAAAAAATTATGATTTTGTCATTTGGGAGATGTAATTGCTGGGATTTATAGTTCACCTATAATCAAAGAGCATTTTGAACTCCACCAACAATGGAATTGAACCAAACTTGGCACACAGTTCTCCCATGACCAACAGAAAACATTGGAAGGGTTTGGTGGGCAGTGTCCTTTGGTTTTGGAGTTGTAGTTCACCTACATCCAAAGATGACTGTGGACTCAAACAATGATGGATCTGGACCAAACTCTACAAGAATACTCAATATACCCAAATGTGAATACTGGTGGAGTTTGGGGGAAATAGAATCCTGACATTTGTTGGGAGTTGTAGTTGCTGGGATTTATAGTTCACCTACAGTCAAAGAGCATTCTGAACCCCACCAATGATAGAATTGGGCCAAACCTCCCACACAGAACCCTCATGTGGGCCTTAGCAACGCGTGGCAGGGGATGGTTAGTTGTGTATATCTCTCACTCTGGATTCATGCTGTTATTAGTAGCTGGACTATCAGAGATTTCCAAACTTTGATCCTCCATGTGTTTTGGACTCCAACTCCCAGTATTCTTTTGGCGAACAGCCAGGAATACTGGGAGCGGAGCGGAAGTCCAAAACAATAGCAAGGCCAAAGCTTTGGGAACACGTGGATCTCATTCCAACTCTACCTCTTTTGTTTTTGGTGCCATGCTTTTTAGCAGACTGTAGCTCCTGCTGGATCTTCTGTTCCAGGAATTCCTGCTTCTTGACCAGCACCTCTTCGGTCTCCCGCAGTTTCTGAATGGCCTCTTGCGGGGTCGGCGCTTTGGCCTTCTTACCTGAAATATAAGGTTGGGAAAAAAAATCAAATGTTTATTTATTCCATGAATCAGCTGTCTCTAACGTAGTCATGATGGACTACAGTTCCCATCATCTGGAAGGGAAGACTTTGGGTGCATCTACATAAAGTATCATAAAGTTGGAAGAGACCGCATGGGCCATCTAATCTAACCCCCTGCCAAGAAGCAGGAAAATTGCATTCAAAGCACCCCTGCACAGATGGTCATCCAGCCTCTGTTTAAAAGCCTCCACTGCACTCCAGGGCAGAGAGTTCCACTGCTGAACAGTTCTCAGTCAGGAAGTTCTTCCTAATGTTCAGATGGAATCTCTTTAAGCGGCTGAGGGGGGAAAGGAAAGGGCCTGAGGCTGTTAAGAATGGTGGGAGTTGAAGTGCAAAACACCTGGAAGGCCCAAGTTTGCCCATGCTTGGTCTACACTGTAGAATTAACAGTTTGGCAGCACTTTAACTGACATGGTTCAACATTATGGAATGCTGTGAGATGTAGTTTCCCAAGGTCTTTAACCTCCTCTGCTCAAGAGTGTTGGTGCCTCACTAAACTACAACTCCCAGGGTCTCATAGCATTGATCCACTGTAGTGAAAGTGGTGTCAAACTGTATTCTTTACACAGTGTAGATGGTTTAACACTATGGAATCCCGGGATTTGTAGTTTCCTAAGGTCTTTAACCTCCCCTGCTCATGACTGTCAGTGCCTCACCAAACTAAAACTCCCAGGGTCCCATAGCACCGACCCATTTTAGTGAAAGTGGTGTCAAACTGTATTGTTTACACATTGTAATGGTTCAACACTATGGAATCCTAGAAGTTGTAGTTTCCCAAGGTCTTTAGCCTCCTCTGCTCAAGAGTGTTGGTGCCTCACCAAACTACAACTCCCAGGGTCCCATAGCACTGACCCATGGTAGTTGAAGTCCAAAAACCTCTGGAGGGCCCAAGTTTGCCCATGCCTGACCTACATTGTAGAATCAACACAGTTTGGCAGCACTTTAACTGACATGGTTCAATACTTTTGGAATCCTGGGAGTTGTAGTTTCCCAAGGTCTTTAACCTCCCCTGCTCATGACTGTCAGTGCCTCACCAAACTAAAACTCCCAGGGTCCCATAGCACCGACCCATTGTAGTGAAAGTGGTGTCAAACTGTATTGTTTACACATTGTAATGGTTCAACACTATGGAATCCTAGGAGTTGTAGTTTCCCAAGGTCTTTAATCTCCTCTGTTCAAGAGTATTGGTGCCTTACCAAACCACAACTCCCAGGGTCCCATAGCACTGACCCATGGTAGTTGAAGTCCAAAACACTTGGAGGGCCCAAGTTTGCCCATGTCTGACCTAGACTACAGACTCAATACAGTTTGGCAGCACTTTAACTGACATGGTTCAACACTTTGGAATCCTGGGAGTTGTAGTTTCCCAAGGTCTTTAACCTCCTCTGCTCAAGAGTGTTGGTGCCTCACCAAACTACAACTCCCAGGGCCCCATAGAACCGACCCATTGTAGTGAAAGTGGTGTCAAACTGTATTGTTTACATAGTGTAGGTGGTTCAACACTTTGGAATCCTGGGGTTGTAGTTTCCCAAGGTCTTTAACCTTCTCTGTTCAAGAGTGTTGGTGCCTCACCAAACTACAACTCCCAGGGTCCCATAGCATTGACCCATTGTAGTGAAAGTGGTGTCAAACTGTATTGCTTACACAGTGTAGATGGTTCAACACTATGGAATCCTGGGAGTTGTGGTTTCCCAAGAATCCTTGGGAATCCTGGGAGTGGTAGTCTTTAACTTCCTCTGCTCATGAGTGTTGGCCTCTCACCAAACTACAACTCCCAGAGTCTCATAGCACTGACCCATTGTATTGAAAATGGTGTCAAACTGTATAGATCAGTGGTCCTCAACCTGGGGTCCCCAGATGTTTTTGCCCTACAACTCCCAGAAATCCCAGCCAGTTTACCAGATATTAGGATTTCTGGGAGTTGAAGGCCAAAAACATCTGTTGACCCCAGGTTGAGAACCACTGGTATAGATGGTTCAACACTTTGGAATCCTGGGGTTGTAGTTTCCCAAGGTCTTTAACCTCTGTTCAAGAGTGTTGGTGCCTCACCAAACTACAACTCCCAGGGTCCCATAGCATTGACCCATTGTAGTGAAAGTGGTGTCAAACTGTATTGCTTACACAGTGTAGATGGTTCAACACTATGGAATCCTGGGAGTTGTAGTTTCCGAAGGTCTTTAACCACCTCTGTTCAAGAGTGTTGGTGCCTCACCAAACTACAACTCCCAGGGTCCCACAGAACCGACCCATTGTAGTGAAAGTGGTGTCAAACTGTATAGTTTACACAGTGTAGATGGTTCAGCACTATGGAATCCTGGGAGTTGTAGTTTCCCAAGGTCTTTAACCTCCTCTGCTCAAGAGTGTTGGTGCCTCACCAAACTACAACTCCCAGGGTCCCATAGAACCAATCCATTGTAGTGAAATGGGAGTTGTAGTTTGTTGAGGCACTGACACTCTTGAGCAGAGGAAAGTGGTGTCAAACTGTATTGTTTACAGAGTGTAGATAGTTCAACATGATGGAATCCTGGGAGTTGTAGTTTCCCAAGGTATTTAGCCTCCTCTGTTCAAGAGTATTGGTGCCTCACCAAACTACAACTCCCAGGGTCCCATAGAACTGACCCATTGTAGTTAAAGTGATGTCAAACTGTATTGTTTACACAGTGTAGACACACCTTTTTCCAAAAGGAAAACCAATCCCTTAGAACAGTGGTCCTTGGGATCTCCATGTTTATTTGGGACTCCAACTCCCAGGAGCCAGGACTCCCAGGAATACTGGGAATTGAAGTCCAAAAACATCTGGAGGTCCAAAGACTGCCTTGGAAAAAAAAGGAAGGTTGAAGAGGGAGAAGTAAAAGGCCTTCCCATCAGGACACAATCATGGGGCTTTCCAGCCACTGCTTCAAAATGGAGGAAAACAAATAGCAGCCTTCCATCCTGGTACTGAGAAACCAGGGTCAAGATCTCTCTTCTCCTCCCCCCATATTATGGGCAACATGGTACAGTCCGCCCCCCTATAGAACATTTGGAACACTCCCCTTCCCTGGATTCTATAATAGAGGCTTTTTTCCTCCCCCTCCCTCCCCCTTTTTTGTTTGGTTTGTCCCAAACATTCCATGGTTTTCTAAGGAGATTGGGAGATACCATTTCCCTGCATGGGGGGGATAGAAAAAAATAATAATAATATTGGTCTTACCCTTCCCAAAAAGCTTCCCCAACCCACTCATCTCGCCTGGTCGGGAATTCACTGGGTTTCCTCTTCCGGCTTCACCCACCTTGCTCCCTATTTCCCCCTCCCTCTCCGCCCTGATCACATGATGATTGGGAAGGGCCAGGACAAAGAGTCACAGTCTGATTGTCTCCCTTGAGTGATTTCCGGTATCCATTTGCAGCCATAGGGAAAGTTTTCATTCAATGGAGAAGCCTGCATCAGAAAACATGTACTCCATTCATCCAAGACTATCTTGGACAGCAGTGGCTCCCAAAGTGACCCATTTAAGGTGGGATCAGATGTCCAACAGGGATGTGTTATTGCCCCAACTTTATTTTCCATCTTAATCGCTATGATACTTCATCTTTTTGATGGGAAGCTTTCCACCGGAGTGGAAATCATCTATTGGACAGAAGGCAAGCTATTGAACCTCAGCAGACTGAAAGCCAAAACCAAGGTTACAGAACTCCAATATGCCGATGATAACGTAGTCTGTGCGCATTCAGAAAAAAAACCTACAAACCACTCTAAATACCTTTACAGAAGCATGTGATAAGCCTGGTCACTCACTCAACCTTGAGAAAATCAAAGTGCTCTTCCAGCAGTGACCAGCCAATCCGTCTGCAATGCCAGAAATACAGATTAATGGTGTAACATCATTTATTTATTTACGACATTTATATGCCGCCCTTCTCACCCTGAAGGGGTCTCAGAGTGGCTTACAGGATATATATACATACAATATATTATATTATTAGCATAGTACAATATCAGTATTATATATTACTATATTGTACTATGCCATTATATTGTAATAATATTAGTAATATTACATGTAATATAAAATATAATAATAATAATATATTATTATTATTTTTCTTAGTATTGTATTACATTATAATATAAATATTATATGTATATACAATATATTATATTATTAGCATAGAGAGGAGGAGCTGAGGAGCCTTCTAACCAAGGTGAAAGAAGAAAGCGCAAAAGCTGGGTTGCAGTTAAACATAAAAAAAACCAAGATTATGGCAACAAGATTGATTGATAACGGAAATAGAGGGAGAATACATGGAGGCAGTGACAGACTTTGTATTTCTAGGTGCAAAGATGACTGCAGACACAGACTGCAGCCAGGAAATCAGGAGACGCTTACTTCTTGGGAGGAGATCAATATCCAATCTTGATGAAATAGTGAAGAGTAGAGGCATCACACTGGCAACGAAGATCCGCATAGTCAAAGCAATGGTCTTCCCCGTAGTAACCTATGGCTGTGAGAGCTGGACCATAAGGAAGGCTGAGCGAAGGAAGAGAGATGCTTTTGAACGGTGGTGCTGGAGGAAAGTTCTGAGAGTGCCTTGAACTGCGAGAAGATCCAAGCAGTCCATACTTCAAGAAATAAAGCCCAATTGCCCATTGGAGGGAAGGATATTAGAGGCAAAGTTGAAGTACTTTGGCCACATCATGAGAAGAAAGGAAAACTTAGAGAAGGCCGTGATGCTGGGGAAAATGGAAGGAAAAAGGAGGAGGGACCGACCAAGGGCAAGATGGATGGATGGGATCCTTGAAGTGACTGGATTGACCTTGAAGGAGCTGGGGGTGGTGACAACCGACAGGGAGCGCTGGCGTGGACTGGTCCATGAAGTCATGAAGAGTCGGAAACGACTGAATGAATGAACAACAACAACAACAAAGCATCGCACAGGAGACAAGGCGGAACTGTCCCCTGGCCCCCTCTCTCTTCACTCTGGCCCAGAGCAGCAGTTGGTGCTAGGGGGAGGGGTCCCCAATTGATGACATAAATTAGAAAATGTGAACCATTTCTGCTTCCTTGGCAGTCACCTCTCCACAAAAGTCACCATTGACATTGAAATACAACACTGCCTGACCTCTGCAAGTGCAGTATTCTTCTGAATGAAGCACAGAGTGAGGATCAGGACATCTGTTGAGAGACCGAGGTGCTTGTTTACAAATCTATTGTCCTCCCAACCCTGCTATATGCCTGCAAAACGTGGACTGTCTACAGATGTCACACTCAACTCCTGGAACGATTTCATCAATGCTGCCTCCGAAAAATCCTGCAAATCTCTTGGGAAGCCAAGCGGACAAATGTTAGCGTTCTGGAAGAAGCAAAGACCACCAGCATTGAAGCAATGCTCCTCCGCCATCAACTCCGCTGGACTGGCCATGTTGTCCAAACGCCTGATCCATATGGAGTGGTGTCGGAGGTCACAGGGGTTGGGTTCACGGGTGTGGGGTTAGAGGGACAATAAATGTTAATGTATTATAACTGTACAGTCAAAGTTGATTTTTTATATGTTTAATGAGCGCTGACTGTATACCATTCTGCTAACTGGCATACTCTTTTGTATTTCTTTTTTTCTGTTTTTCTGTTTTTTTCTCTTTCTTTTTTACTTTTTACTTATTTCAGTTTTCCTTTGGTGTCGGTTTTGTTTTCTGTATACACCACAAACCAATAAAAAAATATTTAAAAAAACAAAAACAAATGCCTGATCACCAACTCTCAAAACAGTTACTCTACTCCAAACTCAAGAATGGGAAATGTAATGTTGGAGGACAGGAAAAGAGATTTAAAGATGTGCTTAAAGATAACGTTAAGAACTGTGGCATAGACACCGAGAATTGGGAAGCCCTGGATCTTTAGCGCTCTAACTGGAGGTCAGCTGTGACTAGCAGTGCTGCAGAATTTGAAGTGGCACGAACAGAGGGTGAAAGGGAGAAATGTGCCAAGAGGAAGGCACGTCAAGCCAACTGACTGGGACTTCCTTCCACTTGGAAACCGATGTCCTCACTGCGGGAGAACATGCAGGTCAAGAACAGGGCCCCACAGCCACCTACGAACCCACCACCACTACACTGCACTTGGAGGACCATCATCCTCAAACTTGAGCCCCCGATGGCACAGTGAGTTAAACCCCTGTGCCGGCAGGACTGAAGACCAACAGGTCACAGGTTCGAATCCGGGGAATACGCAGATGAGCTCCCTCTATCAGCTCCAGCTCCTCATGCGGGGACATGAGAGAAGCCTCCCACAAGGATGATAAAAACATCAATTCATCCGGGCGTCCCCTGGGCAACGTCCTTGCAGACGGCCAACTCTCTCACACCAGAAGCAACTTGCAGTTTCTTAAGTCACTCCTGACATGACCAAAACATCCTCAAACTACAAGGGATTGCTTAAGTAAAATAAGTAAGTAAAGTACTCCATTGATATATTTATCTACTGAAAGTAATTTCCATTGAATGAGACAAGACTTGCTCCTTTTGTGTTTCTTAAAAAAATAATAATTGAGCACCAACTGTCCCACCACTTGCGTCACTTAGAACCAGAAGTGTATACTGCATAGATCTTTTGTATCGTTTACCTCTTTGGCCCAGGTCTGGACACGTGACTATAGCGTGGGCAGGGAGGGGCCTTAGAAAGCAGGGAGAAAAATAAATCATATGACGTAACGTCACTCTTTTCTCACCCTCTCCTTCTCTTAAAGGGACAGTGTCCCTAAATAACAAAAATAGGTTTTGGGCTGGATATTTTTTTAGTAATGATTTAGAATTACAAAATTCCTAATAAGCCAAGGGAAAGAAAAGCAAATGTTGGGTTAAGTTAGTTTATACTGTTGTGTGTGTGTGTGTGTGCATATATATATACACACCCAACACACAAACCTTTGTTTATTATATGCCAATTAGATGCCAGGTGTTGAATGTTTAAAAAATCAATAAAAATTAAATTCAGAATTTAATTTATGGACTGGAGATGTTCCATTAATTCCTAATGTTTGTATTACTTTTCCTAATAAACAGCTCTTGCCAGCTATGTTTACCAGTTGTACGGCATTTTTATATTCCATTCCAATTAATAAATTTTAAATTTTGCTTTTCATCTTGCACATAGATCAGGATGATGGGATCTGTAGTCAAGAGGAAAAGGGAAAAGTGTGCATGTATGTTATGTTTTTCAATGGGATTCAATGGAAGTACCCCTCCCAAATCAGGACATTCTGCCCTAGAGTTTTCAGGCGCATCTACATTGCAGAATTAAACCAGTTTGACAACACTTTACCTCTTATTGCTTACTGCTATGGAATAATGGGATTTGTAGTTTGGTGAGACACCAGCCCTCTTGGGCAGAGAAGGCTGAACACCCTAGGAAACTACAACTCCCAGGATTCCATTGTTTGGAGCCACGACAGTCAAAGTAGTTCCAAACTAAATTAATTCTATAGTGTAGATGCACATACAATTGGATAATGGGATTTGTAGTTTGGTGAGGCACCAGCCCTCTTGGGCAGAGAAGGTTGAACACCTTAGGAAACTATAACTCTAAGGATTCCATTGCCTGGAGTATTGGCAGTCAAGGTGGTTCCAAACTGAATTAATTCTATAGTGCAGATGCACCTACAATAGGATCATGGGATTTGTATTTTAGTGAGGCACCAACCCTCTTGGGTAGGGAAGGATGAACACCATAGGAAACTACAACTTCCATGATTCCATTGGCTTGAGCCACGACACTCAAAGTAGTTCCAAACTGAATTAATTCTATAGTGTAGATGCACATACAATAGGATCATGGGATTTGTAGTGTGGTGAGACACCAGGCCTCTTGGGCAGAGAAGGCTGAACACCTTAGGAAACTATAACTCCCAGGATTCCATTACTTGGAGCCATGGCAGTTTGAAGAGGTTCCAAACTGCATTAATTCTATAGTGTAAATGCACTTGCAATATAAATTTATCTATGACCAGCTCAGACGATGCATGTATGTGAGTGAATTGCGGAGAAAAACACACGTATAGTTTATTGATAGCATGTCAACACTTTTGCACATTCTGCGCAAGAAGGGAAGAAGCCCAGTTTTAGCAAAATGGCATCAAGGTTCAGGAATGAGCAAAAGCTTCCAAGCCGCGGCCGAGGAGCGAAAGATTCATGCCGTTGGGGACCAGAATGCATGTCACCCCTGTATGGAAGAAAAAAAGGGACAAACATTGAGTATTTACCTCCCTGCCTTTTTAGGGATATATAAAACCTGCTTGGACCATTTCATTGTCCAATTGGGCATTGGCTAAGCCAACTATGGGTGCATCTACACCAGGCATGGGCAAACTTCGGCCCTCCAATGTTTTGGACTTCAACTCCCACCATTCCTAACCGCCTCAGGCCCTTTCCTTTTCCCCCTCAGCCGCTTAAGCTAACAGCAAGGATTCAATGCTAACAGTAAAAATCTAAAACATACATCGACAGTAAATTAACAAATACATATAAGATAAATTACATAAAAGCCATTCGCAAAGATAAAAACATGTCCAGCTCAGTCCATATATTCAGTCCATATATTGTGGTCAATAACTTTGGTTGATTACCGGTCTCAGCCATCATTCTGCAAAGGCCTCGTTCCACAGCCAGGTTTTCACTAGCTTCCTAAAGGTCAGGAGGGAGGGGGCAGATCTAATTTCATTCAGGAGGGAATTCCATAGCCAGGGGACCACCACAGAAAAGGTCCTGTTTCTTGTTTCCACCAGACGCGACTGCGAAGGTGGCGGGACCGAGAGCAGGGCCTCTCCAGATTATCTTAACACTCATGATGATTCGTAGGGGAGAATACGTTCGGACAGGTAAACTGGGCCGGAACCGTATAGGGTTTTGTAGATTAGGACCAGCACTTTGAATTGTGCTCGGAAGCTAATGGGTAGCCAGTGGTGCTGGCGCAACAAGGGAGTTGTACACTCCCTGTATCCTGCTCCCATTAGTAGCCTGGCTTCCGAGCGTTGGATTAATTGCAGCTTCCGGGCAGTCTTCAAAGGCAACCCCATGTAGAGAGCGTTGCAGTAGTCTATACGGGATGTAAACAGAGTGTGAACCACCGTGGCCAAGTCTGACTTCCCAAGGTACGGGCACAGCTGGCGCACAAGCTTTAACTGTGCAAAAGCTCCCCTGGCCACCGCTGAGACCATGGCAGTTAAAGTGGTGCCAAACTGCATTCATTTTACAGCAGTGGTTGTGCTGTCGCGCGCTGGGCCTGTGGGGATGTCTGTTAGCAGGACGTGCTATCTGAATGCCCAATGGGATGCCAGGGTGCCTTGGCTGAGAGGCCCTATAGATTTCCCTACACAAAGTTCTGCTGAGGCTTAAGATAAGTCCAACAAATTTCTTTATTAAGGATAAAATCTTCAAAACACGGATTAAACACTCTATAACTTTGGAAAATTGGTAACTTCTTCAATTTGTCGACAAGGAACAGGCAACTGCTTAATAAACTGCTTCTTTTCTTCTTTAAGGGAAATCCTTTGATCCCTCTCTGGGCAATTTCTTTACTTTGCTGGTGTGGGCCCCTACTCCTGGTTCCAAAATGCGTAATGGGTGACCCGAGTAGTCCTTACCAGGCAAAGTCTCTGTAGATTTTACAAGTTGAAGGAAGTCCTTTACTTTCCAGCAAAGCTGGCTGTATTTCCCTTTTTTCCAGCGAAGGCTGGCTGTAACTATATTTCCCCAGCGAAGCATGTGAGAAGCGAAGCCTTTTACAGGTGGGAGAGAGAAAAGCTCAAAAGTCCTGTCTGAAAGGCTTCACTGTAAAAACTGGACTAAAGGTTCCCTTTTCCCTCCCAACCTGGGGAAAGGGGCGGATCTAAAGGCTCTAATGATCGATTGGCAGGTCACTGGCCCTATGATTGCAACCTGGAGGAAGCTACCAAATTGCAAAATGCATAGCCTGCAGGAATTCATGCAAACAAGCAAAGAAAGAGAAAGGGAATACAAACCCCAGGCATAGCTGTGCAAGCACAGTGGTTCTCAATCCTATGGGTCCCCAGGTGTCTTGGCCTACAACTCCCAGAAATCCCTACCAGTTTAGCAACTGTTAGGATTTGTGGGAGCTGAAGGCCAAAACATTTGTGGTCGCACAGGTTGAGAACCACTGTTCTACAATGTGGATTCCCCCATTGTTGTACTAGAGAAACAGGACGCATTGGAGATGAACGAAGACATATGCACACGTGTCTCCAGGTACCTAATTTGCTGACATCATAAATATTTCGGCTTTCATCATCAAAGAAGAGCATCTGACAAAGGGGGATCCCGCTCTGCTGAGATAACCTGTGGAAAATTAGGAGAGAAGGGAATGAGAGTATTCATACCGCACATTGAAACTCTAAATTCTCCCATCTTCATGGTTCTCTGTCCATATATAGTCAGTCCTTCACATTCATTAGGGTTAGGGGCATAAGACCCCCATGAAAAGATAATACAATAAATCTATAAAAATAAAAATGTAATGTTCGTTTGTGTGATAAACAGAACTCAAAAACCAGTGGACGAATTGGCACCAAATTTGGACAGCATACACCTAACAACCCAATGTATGTCCTTCACTCATTTTTTTTATTTTGTCATTTGGGAGTTGTAGTTCTTGCGATTTATAGTTCACCTACAATCAAAGAGCATTCTGAACTCCACCAATGATGGAATTGAACCAAAGGTGACACACAGGACTCCCATGACCAACAGAAAAGACTAGAAGGGTTTGGTGGGCATTGACCTTGAGTTTGGGAGTTGTAGTTCACCTACATCCAGAGACCACTGTGGACTCAAACAATGATGCATCTGGACCAAACTCTACACAAATACTCAAGATGCCCAAATGTGAACACTGGTGGAGTTTGGGGAAAATAAAATCTTGACATTTGGGAGCTGTAGTTGCTGGGATTTATAGTCCACCTACAATCGCAAAGCATCTGAACCTCACCAACAATAGAATTGGGCCAAACCTCCAACACAGAACCCCGATGTGGGCCACAGCAACGCGTGGCAGGGGACGACTAGTAATAGAACAAATAGGAAATAATATCATTGTGATTGTTTTAACCTGGGACCAAAACCTCTCTAGCAATATCTAGTTTCTCCAGCATGGCTCTATGAACAATTTCCTCTGCATCATACTGGAGGAACTAGGTTAGTGTTCTCTCTAGTAACCCCAATGGGTGCATCCGCATTGTAGAAATAATGCAATTTGACGCCCACTCACCGCTATGACTCAATACTATAGAAGCCTGGAATCTGAAGTTTAGTGAGGCACCAGTGCTTTTTTGCAGAAAAGGCTAAAACCTTGTGAAACTACAACTCGCACTGAGATATGAGAGTTAGAGTGGTGCCAAACTGCATTAATTGGATAGTATGGATCAGGCATGGGCAAACTTGGGCCCTCCAGTGTTTTGGACTTCAACTCTCAGAAATCTGGCTGTTAGGAGTTGTGGAAGTCCAAAGCACCTGGAGGGCTTAAGTTTGCCCATGCTTGGTGTAGATGAACCCCAAGTAGGAAAAGAGATAGATTTGGGATTTTGGAAGTAGATATGGGGCTTACCTTTGGAAATGGGTGACTTTGCTGCCTGGGTAGATCTCTTTACAGCGGAAGTAGCTACTGAGGCTCAGAAGATCTAAGAGCTGAGTCGCCCCTCGGATCTCACCTGTCCTGGGAGAAAAGAGAGAAACCAAGGAACAGTTAAATAATAAAGAATGGGCTCTTTGGACTTTTGTTGTTGTTGGATGCCTTCAAGTCACTTCCGAGTTTGGGAGACTTTGGATGCATCCACGCTGTAGAATGAATGCAGTTTAGTGTGACTTTACCTACCCTGGCTCGATGCAATCGGATCTTGGGAGTTGTAGTTTTGCAAGTATTTTCGCCTTCTCTGCAAAAATGCTGGTGCCTTAGCAAGCTACAATTCCCAGGAGTCCATAGCATTGAGCCATAACAGTTAAAGTGGTGCTAAACTGCATTCAGTCTACAGTGTAGATGCACCCCCTATCACATGGTTTTCTGGGTCTGAGAGTGTGTGAAACAGGCATAGTTGAGCAGTAACATGGTAGAATATTTATTATTATTATTATTATTATTATTATTATTATTATTATTATTTGGAACACAACAAGATGAGTCCACAGCAGACAAGATCACTCTGCTGGCTGTTGTATTGGATCAGATGTCCCAAGTGTCTAGGACTGTGTGATGTATCAGCGAATAATGCGTGCAGATCCCAGTAAGGTGGCCTTCTGCAGCTGGCAGATGGTAATCCTGTCAGCGCTGAAGTGCAGGCCAAGGTCTTTAGGAACTGCACCCAGTGTGCCGATCACCACTGGGACCACCTTTACTGGTTTGTGCCAGAGTCTCTGCAGTTCAATCTTTAAATCCTCATATTGTGTCAGCTTTTCCAGTTGCTTCTCTTCAATCCTGCTGTCACCTGGAATTGCAACATTGACGATCCATACTTTGTTTTTTAACACGATTGTGAATTCAGGAGTATTGTCCTCCTAAACTCTTGTCAGTCTGAATTCGGAAGTCCCGGAGTAGTTTGACGTGTTCATTTCTGTAACTTTTTCAGGCTTGTGATCCCACCAGTTCTTTGTCACAAACAGATTGGCATGTTCAGCTTTTTCACACTACAATTACTCAATTACATCTGCCCCAAGTGTACACAGATCACTCGCATGGAACACAGGATACGACAACTCGAGGACCGTATTAACACCCTTAAGGACATTCAGGAACTTGAGCTCTTCTTAGACACCACACACCACACTGTCCTAGACACGCAGCCCATATCACACCAACATTACGAGGAGGCTCAACAGAACAGCACCTCAGATGTCGACAACCCTCAGGCTTGGAGAAATGTCACCCTTAGAAGGACACATAGGACCCGGAAGCCTCCTCAGAATACTTCCGCTCAGCTGCAGTTACACAATAGATTCCAAATTCTCACACAACTAGCACCTGACCAAGAAACACAACATATTGGGGAAGACCAGAATGGCTTAGATACTGATCAGTGGCTCATCCTTGATCAGTGTGCGGGGGATAGCCCTGACTGGGACAACACTTCACAACATTCACACTTGCACAATCCTGCAGGTGTACCATCCCCAACCATAGACCAGGAGCAACAGGAACACATACAGGAGAACCATAGGCTCTTGGACGAATCTCAATGGATTGTCCTTGACGAATGCACCGGGGATGTCGAGGAGGAGGACAACACTTTTCACCTACACAATTCACACCAACAGGATCACTTTTCTGGAGACCTACACACTACATTGCACAAAAGGGGCCCTGTCATTCCCGAAAGTAAACAGGTCTTGGTAGTAGGCGACTCCCTCCTTAGAGGAACGGAAGCTGTCATTTCCAGACCAGATGGGATGGCTCGAGAAATATGCTGCCTACCGGGGGCAAAAATACACCATATCACTCAGAGGCTCACCAGGCTCCTCAAGCCCTATCACCGTCCTCCCCTCATGTTGATTCATGTAGGAACCAATGATACTGCAAGGCATACGTTTCAAAAGATCACAAATGATTTTCGAGCTCTAGGAGCAAAGCTAAAAGAATGTAATGTACAGGTGGTCTTTTCATCCCTCCTCCCTGTTGTAAGACACGGACCCACAAGAGCCAGAAAAATAGTACAGGTCAATGACTGGCTTAGAAAATGGTGTCAGGAGGAACGCTTTGGCTTCCTCGACCATGGCCTGCTTTTCCAGGAGGATGGCCTACTGGCAAGGGATGGGGTGCATCTCACACAAGTAGGAAAACACCTTTTTGCTCACAGACTCGCAAACCTCATTAGACGCACTTTAAACTAGGTCCACCGGGGGAGGGGGACAACAGCCTTGCGAACACTACTTTACCCATAATGTCTGGGAATCGCCAGAAGGCTAAACGGAGGGCTGCACAAACACAACAAGGACCAAATACCAAAAGCACAATAATCCCAATTAAACAGCTCAAGGGAAGATCCCAGGGGCTCACATGTCTTTACACTAATGCACAGAGCATGGGAAATAAACAAGACGAACTCCAACTTTTAGCACAACACCACAAATATGATATCATAGGGATCACTGAAACCTGGTGGGATGACTCCTATCGCTGGAATGTAGATATCGAGGGGTATACCCTCTTTCACAGAAACCGAACAAAGGGGAGAGGAGGCGGAGTAGCCTTATATGTCAAAAACTCTTATGCTGCAGAAGAGATTCAAGACAGCAATCTGGGAAACCAGCTTGAAATCATCTGGATAAGAATCAAGGGAACTGGGACTCAAAAAGATGTCGTTGTAGGCGTCTACTACAGACCCCCAAGCCAGGAGGAAGAACTTGATGAAGTCTTCTGCCAACAGTTGACCAAACAGGCACAGAGAAGAGATGTAGTAGTCATGGGCGATTTCAACTATCCCGATATTTGCTGGAAAACAAACTCGGCCAAGAGTACAAGGTCCAACAAATTCCTCGCTTGCCTTGCAGACAATTTCATGGTCCAGAAGGTAGAAGAGGCAACAAGGGGATTGGCTACTCTTGATCTCATCCTAACAAATGCGGAGGACCTGATCGATGCGGTCGAAGTGGTAGGATCCTTAGGGGCAAGTGACCATGTGCTCCTGCAATTTGAGGTACAAAGGAAGGCCGAAACTAAGACAAGTCAAACCCGCATTTTGGACTTTAGGAGAGCTGATTTCCAAAAAATGAAGGAAACACTGAGCAGCATTCCGTGGACACAGATACTAAAAGACAAGGGAGTTACGGATGGATGGGAATTTCTCAAGAGTGAAATACTCAAGACGCAATTGCAAACCGTGCCAACAAAGAGAAAAAATAGGACAAGTGCAAAGAAGCCAGAATGGATGTCCAAAGAACTTCTAACTGTGCTAAGACACAAAAGAGACATGCACAAGAAGTGGAAAAAGGGAGAAATCACCAAAGAAGAATTCAAACAAATAGCCAACACCTGTAGGGAAAAGGTCCGCAAGGCTAAAGCAAAAAACGAGCTCAGACTTGCCAGGGACATTAAAAACAATAAAAAGGGCTTCTATTCTTATGTCAGTAGAAAAAGGAAAAACAAGGAGGCGATAGGACCTCTTCGCGGAGAAGATGGGGCAATGCTGACAGGGGATAGGGAGAAGGCAGAACTACTTAATGCCTTCTTTGCCTCGGTCTTCTCACAAAAAGAGAGTCTTCAACCTCAGCAAGATGGAGTGGATGAGGGATTGGAGGACATCCAACCCCAAATTGGGAAAGAAGTCGTCCAGGAATACCTGGCCGCTCTTAATGAGTTCAAGTCCCCAGGGCCAGATCAACTACACCCCAGAGTATTGAAGGAACTAGCGGAAGTCATTTCGGAACCATTGGCAACCATCTTTGAGAGTTCTTGGAGAACGGGAGAAGTTCCAGCAGATTGGAGGAAGGCCAATGTGGTCCCAATCTTCAAGAAGGGAAAAAAGGATGACCCAAACAACTACCGTCCGGTCAGCCTCACGTCGATACCGGGCAAGATTCTGGAAAAGATTGTTAAGGAAGCGGTCTGCAAACACTTAGAAACAATGCAGTCATCGCTAATAGTCAACATGGATTTATCAAAAACAAGTCATGCCAGACTATTCTGATCTCTTTCTTCGATAGAGCTACAAGCTGGGTAGATGCGGGGAATGCCGTGGATGTAGCGTACCTGGATTTCAGTAAGGCCTTCGACAAGGTCCCCCATGACCTTCTGGCAAGGAAACTAGTCCAATGTGGGCTAGGCAAAACTACGGTGAGGTGGATCTGTAATTGGTTAAGTGGACGAACACAGAGAGTGCTCCTATGCTTCCTCTTCATCTTGGAAAGAAGTGACAAGTGGAGTGCCGCAGGGTTCCGTCCTGGGCCCGGTCCTGTTCAACATCTTTATTAATGACTTAGATGAAGGGCTAGAAGGCAGGATCATCAAGTTTGCAGACGACACCAAATTGGGAGGGAGAGCCAATAGTCCAGAGGACAGGAGCAATTCAAAACGATCTTGACAGATTAGAGAGATGGGCCAAAACTAACAAAATGAAGTTCAACAGTGACAAATGCAAGATACTCCACTTTGGCAAAAAATGAAATGCAAAGATACAGAATGGGGGACGCCTGGCTCGAGAGCAGTACGTGTGAAAAAGATCTTGGAGTCCTCGTGGACAACATGTTAAACATGAGCCAACAATGTGATGTGGTGGCAAAAAAAGCCAATGGGATTTTGGCCTGCATCAATAGGAGCATAGTGTCTAGAACTAGGGAAGTAATGCTACCCCTCTATTCTGCTTTGGTTAGACCACACCTGGAATATTGTGTCCAATTCTGGGCACCACAATTCAAGAGAGATATTGACAAGCTGGAATGTGTCCAGAGGAGGGCGACTAAAATGATCAAGGGTTTGGAGAACAAGCCCTATGAGGAGCGGCTTAAAGAGCTGGGCATGTTTAGCCTGAAGAAGAGAAGGCTGAGAGGAGACATGATAGCCATGTATAAATATGTGAGAGGAAGCCACAGGGAGGAGGGAGCAAGCTTGTTTTCTGCTTCCTTGGAGACTAGGCACAGAGCAATGGCTTCAAACTACAAGAGAGGAGATTCCATCTGAACGAAGAACTTCCTGACTGTGAGAGCCGTTCAGCAGTGGAACTCTCTGCCCCGGAGTGTGGTGGAGGCTCCTTCTTTGGAAGCTTTTAGAACAGAGGCTGGATGGCCATCTGTCAGGGGTGATTTGAATGCAATATTCCTGCTTCTTGGCAGAATGGGGTTGGACTGGATGGCCCATGAGGTCTCTTCCAACTCTTTGATTCTATGATTCTATGATTCTATGAGTCTATGATTGTATCTGTGGCACAAGTTCCTATTATTATTATTATTATTATTAATTATTATTATTATGTTTATATTTATCCTTATATTTATTGTTATTATATTTTTTATTATATTTATTACTAGCTTGGGGACCAAGTTATTAGAAAAAGGCATTGCTCGTTTTTGGATGTTTTTGTATTATCAGTTTGGTGTGGGTGAACTACAATTCCCAGAATCGTGGGCCAATCCTTCCCAAACCTTGCCACTATTCAAAGTTTGGTCCAGACCCATCATCGTCTGGCTGTAGTGCTCTCTGGATAAGAGTAAACTTCAGCTCCCAGATTCCAAGGCGAATCACCCACAAACCCCGCCTGTATTCACATGTTGGTTCTGTGTGCCAAGTTAGGTCCAGACCCATCATTGGTTGGGTTTAGTGCTCTCTGGATAAGGGTGAACTACAACTCCCAGATTCCCAGGGCAATCTTCCCGAAAAACCTACCAGCATTCACAGTTGGCCACGTTGGGTCTGTGTGCCAAGTTTGGTCCAGATTCGTCGTTGGCTTGGTTCAGTGCTCTCTGAATAAGGGAGAACTACAATTCAAAGATTCCAAGGACACTCATCCCAAAACTCTGCCAGTATTCAAAGTTGGCCATGTACACACACACACACACACACACACACAAATATTGACTTCATTATATGTATAGATATACTGTAGATTATATTTATTGTATTATTATTATAAAAATTATATTTGTATTTATTATTATATTTACACTTATTATTAGGGTGGTTGAGACACCACTGATACTTCATTTCCTATGATTACTTTATAGGTTCGTATGACAAATGGGAATTTTAACCCACATTGATACTTCTGAGCGTGTGAACTTCCTAACTGTGAGAGTTGTTCAGCAGTGGAACTCTCTGCCCCAGAGTGTGGTGGAGGTTCCTTCTTTGGAGGCTTTGAAACAAAGGATGGATGGCCATCTGTCAGGAGTGCTTTGAATGCAGTATTCCTGCTTCTTGGCAGAATGGGGTTGGACTGGATGGCCCACAAGGTCCCTTCCAACTCTAGGATTCAATTATTCTAATTAGCTGTAATTGTATTATGTTTGTTGCAGAAGATGTAAAAAGATATCCAGGGGCAAATTAAAACCAATATATTGCTTTAAACTACTAGTAGAATTATTCCCTTTGCTTGTGTTATCAATAACTTAAGTTTCCTCTTGCATAGGCCTCTTTTACTTCCTGCTTCCAAGTGTTTACTTTCTCTATAGGTGCAACTACGCTGTAGAAGTAATGCAGTATTGACACCACTTCCACTGCCATGGCTCAATGCTGTGGAATCCTGGGAGTTGTAGTTTTCCAAGGTCTTTCGCCTTCTCCACCAAAGAGTTCAGCCGTATCTCACCAAACTACAAATCCCAACATCCCATTTGAGCCTTGGCAGTTCAAGTAGGGTCTGCATTAATTCAACAGAGGAGAATGGTATGTCCTTTTGAGATGTTGCAGGACTTCAATTCCCAGCAGACCTTGCTTGCATAAACCCTGGCAAGGGATGCTGGGAATTGTAGTCCAAACACACGTGAGATGGGACTGGATCCTGACTCACCGTGAAGCAACAGCCATAGGGATCCCCTCACTGTGCAATCTTTCCAATACAGCGGGCACTTCGGGATAGAGATTCACAAGTTGTCCGTTCCGATCTCGTATTGAGCCATCACTGGGAAAAAAAGAGACAAGATTCGGGTGTGTGTTGCTTCCAGTTTTGTTAGAATGAATACACTTTGACTCTGGTTGAACTTCCACGGCTCAATGCTATGGGATCTTGGGAGTTGTAGTTTCCCAAGGTCTTCAGTCTTCTCTGCCCAGGAGGGCTGGTGCTTCACGAACTATATATCCCAGGAAATCCACATTAACTGACCTGGGTCAATGCTATGGAACCCTGGAAGTTGTCATTTGGCAGAGAAGGCTGAAGTCCTTGGGAAACTACAACTCCCAGGATTCAATTGCATTCCCAGGATTCAAAGCACTTTATTAGAGTTTAAGACTCTCTGCACATTGCACTTGCCCGGAAATCAAACATACCTCCTGCCACACCCAGCACTTTTAACCTGTACCCATCACTGGCCCGGCCCTGGTTTTTTATTGCGTAATGATGTAATGTTTTGTAATTGCTTATGTTTTAATTTGCTTTAAATTGTATTGTTATTGTTTTGTTGTTGTTGTGTTGAGGCCTTGGCCTTTGTAAGCCGCATCGAGTCCTGCGGGAGATGCTAGCGGGGTACAAATAAAGTTTAATAATAATAATAATAATAATTCAGCAATTAAAGTGGTCTCAAACTGTGTTCATATTTCTGCATCCATATAAAGTTATTATTATTATTATTGACACAAAAGCACAGTATGTCACAGCAAACGAGATCTATATGCTGGATTTTGTATCACAAAATCACAAGTCGAACACTTCCCAAGCATCTAGGATGGTGCGATGTATATTATTATTATTATTATTATTATTATTATTATTATTATTATTATAATATAATATTATTAAGTGCAGGCCAAGGTCTTTAGGCACTGCACCCGGTGTGCTGATCACCACTGGGACCACCTTTACTGGCTTGTACCAGAATTGTTGTTGTTGTTGTTATTATTATTATGTTGTTGTTGTTTTGTTGTTGTTATTTGAAACCCATGTATTGGGCTTAGACCCTATGTGAGTCACCCTGAGTCCTTTGGGGAGATGGTGGCGAGATACAAAGTTGTTGTTATTATTTGAAACACAACAAGATGAGTCCACAGCAGACAAGATCACTCTGCTGGCTGTTGTATTGGATCACACGTCAGACACTTCCCAAGTGTCTAGGACTGCGTGATGTATCGGCGAATAATGTGTGCAGATCCCAGTAAGGTGGCCTTTTGCCGCTGGCAGATGGTAATTTTGTCAGCGCCGATTGTTTTTAAGTGCAGGCCAAGGTCTTTAGGCACTGCACCCGGTGTGCCGATCACCACTGGGACCTTTACTGGCTTGTGCCAGAGTCTTTGTTGTTGTTGCTGTTTACTGGTTTGTGCCAGAGTCTTTGGTGTTGTTGTTGTTGTTATTATTATTATTATATAGAACAGGCATGGGCAAACTTCAGCCCTCCAGGTTTTTTGGACTTCAATTCCCACAATTCCTAACAACCTACGAACTATCTTTATGTTTACCTGTCTTTCTTGAATGGAGGATCCACATGGGTGTCAACCCAAAACGGCCACAGGGTATAATCTGCATGGGATACATCGATTAATTCACTTTGAATTCCTTCCCCAATAAGAATTTGAACCCCCTCTTGCTGAATTTTGCTCTAGGAAGATTCCACAGCATCAACATCTTTTTTGCCAATAATCAATGGAATATTCAATAGATACAATGTCAGTGTAGATGGGGCCTAAGGTTCAAATCCTTGCTCAGCCATGTCTATTCTTGCAACACTTACCCAAGTCAAACACCACCAGCGAAGGTTTTTTGGTCATCTTCTAAAGAGAAGCAGGTCACGTCGATTCCTAGGAAGAAATCAGATCTATATTACAAGCCTGCCATGCATTACCCCCAAACTACAACTCCCAGGAGTCGATAAGGGAATCTACACTGTAGAATGGATGCAGCTTGACACCACTTTAATGCCAGGGAGTCATTGGAGTTGTAGTTTTACAAGGTCTTTAGCCTTCTCTGCCAAAAAGTGCAGGTACCTCACCAAACTAGAACTCCCAGGGCTCTATAGCATGGAGCCATGGCCGTTCAAGGGCTGTCAAACTGGATTAATTTGATGGTGTAGATGCACCCTAGGATTCTACCCTTGTGCCGGTGTGACTGCTGACCTGAAGGTTGCCGGTTCAAATCTGCATACAGGGTGAGTTCCCATCTGTCAGCTCTAGCTTGCAGGGACATGAGAGAAGCCTCCCAGCAGGATGGTAACACATTTGGGCGTCCCCTGGGCAACAGCTCTATTCTCTCATACCAGAAGCAACCCTAGGACTCTGAGAGACCAGATTCGAATCCATACTGAATTATGGAAATCCACTGGGAAAACTTGGGTGAGTCAGTGAGTCACACCCTTTTGGCCTCAGATACCTCCAAGATCATGTGGCCAGCATTACTACATGGAGCGCTGTTACCTTCCCACCGGAGTGGTACCTATTGATCTACTCGCATTTGCATGTTTTTGAATTGCTAGGTTGGCAGAAGCTGGGGCTAACAGCGGGAGCTCACCCCGCTCCCCAGATTCAGACTGCCAACTTTTTGGTTAGCAAGCTGACCAGCTCAGTGGTTATTATTATTATTAGCCCACCAGGGGGGCTAATAATAATAATAACAATAAAAATAATCTCGTTTGCTGTGTCATACTGCGTTTTTGTGTCAGATAATAATAATAATAATAATAATAATAATAATAATAATAATAATAATAAAAAAATAGGTGAGCATTGAGACATGGCAGCTAAAGTGGGTCACCTGGGATTTGTAGTTTGGTGAGGCTGTGTTCTTACCAAACTACAAATTCCAGGTGACCCTCTTTAGCCAACATTAATAATAGTAATAATAGTAATAATAATAATAATAATAATAATAATAATAAATAGATGAGCATTGAGCCATGGCAGCTAAAGTAGGTCACCTGGGATTTGTAGTTTGGCGAGGCTGGGTCCTTACCAAACTACAAATCCCAGGTGACACTCTTTAGCCAACATGTAATAATAATAATAATAATAATAATAATAATAATAATAATAATAATGTATTGTCGAAGGCTTTCATGGCTGGAATCACTGGGTTGTTGTAGGTTTTTTTGGGCTATATGGCCATGTTCTAGAGGCATTCTCTCCTGACGTTTTGCTTGCATCTATGGCAAGCATCCTCAGAGGTAGTGAGGTGAGTGAGGTCATCTCACTACCTCTGAGGATGCTTGGCATAGATGCAGGCGAAACGTCAGGAGAGAATGCCTCTAGAACATGGCCATATAGCCCAAAAAAACCTACAACAACCCAATAATAATAATAATAATAATAATATGAGCATTGAGCCATGGCAGCCAAAGTGGGTCACCTGGGATTTGTAGTTTGGTGAGGCTGAGTCCTTATAAAACTACAAATCCCAAGTGACCCTCTTTAGCCAACATGTAGTAATAATAATAATAGTAATAGTAATGTATTGTTGAAGGCTTTCATGGCCAGAATCACTGGGTTGTTGTAGGTTTTGTAGTTTGGTGAGTCTGGGTCCTTATCAAACTACAAATCCCAGGTGACCCTCTTTAGCCAACATGTAGTAATAATAATATTAATAATAGTAATAGTAATGTATTGTTGAAGGCTTTCATGGCCGGAATCACTGAGTTGTTGTAGGTTTTGTAGTTTGGTGAGGCTGGGTCCTTATCAAACTACAAATCCCAAGTGACCCTCTTTAGCCAACATGTAGTAATAATAATAATAATAGTAATAGTAATGTATTGTTGAAGGCTTTCATGGCTGGAATCACTGGGTTGTTGTAGGCTTTGTAGTTTGCTGAGGCTGGGTCCGTATCAACTACAAATCCCAGGTGACAGTAGTAGTAATCATAATAATAATAATAATAATAATAATAGTAATGTATTGTTGAAGGCTTTCATGGCCGGAATCACTGGGTTGTTGTAGGTTTTGTAGTTTGGTGAGGCTGGGTCCTTATCAAACTACAAATCCCAGGTGACAGTAATAATAATAATAATAATAATAATAATAATAATAATAGTAATGTATTGTTGAAGGCTTTCATGGCCGGAATCACTGGGTTGTTGTAGGCTTTGTAGTTTGCTGAGGCTGGGTCCTTATCAAACTACAAATCCCAAGTGACCCTCTTTAGCCAACATGTAGTAATAATAATAATAATAGTAATAGTAATGTATTGTTGAAGGCTTTCATGGCCGGAATCACTGGGTTGTTGTAGGTTTTGTAGTTTGGTGAGGCTGGGTCCTTATCAAACTACAAATCCCAAGTGAACCACTGTAGCCAGCTTGGCTCAATGCAACAGAATGCTGGGAGTTGTAGTTTTGTGAGGCCCCAGCCCTCTTTGACAGTACTCCTAAGTGGTGCCTGATTGCATCAATTAATGCTACAGTGTGGAGCCCAAGCAACATGGGAATTACAGCTGTCTTTGGATGCAAGAAAACTTATGCAATCTGCTCTGCAAAGGGAAGATCTCTTATCTATCTCCTCCCCTCCCTTAATCCTGAGCCCAAAAGTACCTTTTCTGCTCCTCTGGAGGTCAAGCCACTGCCTTCTTCCTTGGCCCAAATGGAGCTGTTCTGTTCAGCGGGGTCCTGCAGCAGCACCCGGGCTGGATGAGGGGTCTTCTAGTCCTTTTCCAGCCTCTCTGTTCAGTTCCTCTTGCTCTCTGCTTCCTGGAGCACGTGGTCCCAAAGCTACAGAAGCAGAATTGTTGCCAGACAGTTCCAGGGCTTACCGGTTAACTCCTGAAGTCCCAGAGTCCAAAGGGGGAAAGAAATATTCCTGCCAAGCAGGGATGGACAGGGCAACAGCTCTGGAACAAGGCAATCTATAGAAATAACAATGTAATGCTCGTTTGTGGGATTAGCATAACTCAAAAAACACTGGACAAATTGCCGCCAAATTTGGCCACAAGATACCTATTAACCCAAGGAGTGACCATCACTCAAAATTTTGAGAGTTGTAGTTGCTAGGATTTATAGTTCATCTACAATCAAAGAGCATTGTGAACTCCACCAATGATGGAACTGAACCAAATGTGGCACACAGGACTCCCATGACCAACAGAAAACACTAGAAGGGTTTGGTGGGCAATGACCTTGAGTTTGGGAGTTGTAGTTCACCTATATCCAGAGAGCACTGTGGACTCAAACAATGATGGATCTGGACCAAACTTGGCACAAATACTCAGTATGTCCAAATGTGAACACAGGTGGAGTTTGAGGGAAATAGACCTTGACATTTGAGAATTGGAGTTTCTGGGATTTATAGTTCACCTACAATCAAAGAGTGTTCTGAACCCCACCAATATTAGAATTGGGGCAAACTTCCCACACAGAACCCCCATGACCAACAGAAAATACTTAAGGCCATCTAGTCCAACTCCCTTCACCAGGGCAAGGAAACGTAATCAGAGCCCTCCTGACAAAGAGCCACCCAGCCATATATATATATATATACAACAGCACAACAACAGAGAGGAAACAAACAAGGACATCTAATCACCTCTCAACAAAAGTTTGCTCTAGGCACTATCAGGCCATTATATGCTAATCAAGGTGGTCAGTTGAAACATTCACACCTAGCTCCAGCACACAAGAGCCCTTTGTCCCACCTTGGTCATTCCACAGATATATAAATCCTTTTTCCTAGTTCCAACAGACCTCACTACCTCTGAGGATGCTTGCCATAGATGCAGGCGAAACGTCAGGAGAGAATGCCTCTAGACCATGGCCATATAGCCCGAAAAAACCTACAACAACCCAATTTGTTAACTGTTTTTTTATCCTGAATATGTGGCCCGCCCATTGTCATCCTTACTGTGATTGTGTTTATTGGAATGTTTATTTTATGATTTTTTATTTTTCTTTTAATGTTATTTTTATAATGTTGTTGTTGTTTGCTGTATATGTTTTGATTTTATTGCTGTATTATGTTGTCCGGGCTTGGCTGCTCCAAGTCCCCATCGGGGAGATAGTGGCAGGGTAGAAATAAAGATTATTATTATTATTATTATTATTATTAATATATATATGATTCACACACAGAGAGATATCATAGATTTGAAAGGGACCCCTAAAGAAGGACAATGATATGTTGCATGTTCCAGAGTAGGCAAACCAGACAATCTCCACAACAACACTAACAAAGAAACAGCAAGAAATACTGTTTACTCAAAAGCAGAAAGGCATTACACATATTAGAAACCAACACCTCATTATTTTCCAGATCACCAGACTGGGCCACAGCAACGCGTGGCAGGGGACGGCTAGTCTAATAATAATAATATAGTTTCAGGGGGAGAAAGAGCATTCCATTTGAATGCAAGAAGATCCAGCTATGCAGTTTGCAAAACTGGGGGAAATATTCCCAGCTGCAGGATGCAAGAAGTTGCATCACTATTGGAACTGTATGCTGAGTGTAGACCAGGCCTGGGCAAACTTGGGCCCTCCAGGTGTTTTGGACTGCAACTCCCACAATTCCTAACAGCCGGTAGGCTGTTAGGAATTGTGGGAGTTGAGACTTCCGGTTGGTGGCCAGACGGTGGAAGACGTGTCCCCAACCACTGCTGGGGACAGCCGCGTTTTTTCTCTGAGTTAGGGGGGTCATAACTCCCCTCCCTTACAGGATAGACTGAGGTCCTGAAGGGTAGCTTCACCCGCACCCCGGCCGACGGTGCAAAAGGGGTGCCCCCCTCAAGGGAGCTCCCCAAAGCGCCCGGCAACGGGACGCGCGGGGCGACTCAAGCCGCGGCGGGAGGACATTTTAAGTCTCTCCCCTTTTCTCTACCGGCCAGCGACCCAAAAATTAAGAAGGAGAAGAAACATAGTGAAAGAAGAAAAAGTTTTAAAGCAAGCACCTGGATCCCTGAATAACTGAAGTCAACGAGAAGTAAGTAGAAAATAAGGTGACGGAGGACAATTGGAGTGAATAATAGGGGGAATTGGTCAGAGAAATTGGAGAAGATAAAGTAGAGGGCGGGAGATCCGAACAGAAGGACAAAAGGAAACAAAATATAATAAATAATCGCCTCAAGGCGCCCCAAACTGCCACCCCTTTCGACTCAAAGGTGAAAAAGTGAAAGAACCAAAGTGATAAGGGATACAAGACACCCTGCCATCACAGTCACCACAGTTGGGTAGAGCAATTGTAAACGCTCCCTCCCTCAAAAAGGGACGGCATAACCAAAGGGTGGGAGCTTCACCGAGCGCCTCGGAGGAGACGCTCGTGGTGCCTCAAGACCCAAGGTACAGCGGACTGCGGTGAACTATATAGAACTGCAAGACAGTAAGAAGATGGAGTAAAAGCAATAATATAACAAGGGGAAAGGCAGAGTAGCGTATAGAAAACTAGAGGGGCAGAAGAAGGGGCAGAAGAAGGGAAGATTCACTCCTCGAGGAAGAAAAGAAGGAAACTGCCGATATTGAAACAGGCTGAACTGTGAATAAACGGTTATTAAGTGAATAAGTGAGTAAAACTCTCCTGAGTGCCCCGCCCTCAGCCCCCCCCCCCTTTAGTAGACCAAAACCCTCAAATAAGGAACAAAAGGAAGAGAAATAAATAAAGAACTGACCTTGAAAAAGCCCAGGAAATGGGACGGAGCCAGCCCTGAGGTGGCACATGGGATAGGGAGATAAGGAAAGCGTGGGAGGAAGGAGGAGAAGAGACGGAGAGTGACCCAGCAAGCGGCAAACAAAAATATCGCGAGAAGGTGAGATCACGCGAGGGGACGCGAGAGGGCAACAGAGAAGGAAGACGGAAGTGAAAACATACTGACAGAAGGATAATACCTCGCGAGAGGAGTACAAAAGGAAGAGGAAAGGTGAAAGAAGGACGAACATCAGGAAAATTTAAAGGAGAAGTAGAACAATAAGAAATAAGGGGAGGCAGTGTCAAACAAGAGAGTGCAGCTAATTACAAAGAAATTCAGATTACAAACAATAAACCTCACACAAAAACCACAATAAATAAAATAAATATAATATAATAAAGGTGAAGAAGAGGAAGCGAATATAAATACCATAAGATTCAAAAGAGAGAAAGATTAAAAAAAAAAGGCAAATCACAACAATAAGAAAAGCACCACTAAAAGATTTACAAGGCTTATAGACAATTTGAAAAAGAAAGGGTAAGGATAATAAAATACAACAATATATTACCATCATAAAAGAAGCCGAATTAAAGGGAAACAAAACCAATTATCTCAAGATAGAGAAAACTAAGCAAGAAAAGAAAGATGCAAAACCCAAAAGTAAAAACAACACCACAACTGGCACAAACATCCAAACTGCAACAAAAAAGACTCTATCACAGAGGAGAATGTACTACAAAGTATACTGGAAGAGATAAAAAAAATATCAGCAAAGCAAGACTCACAACATAAAGAATTGCAAGAGGAAATAAAGAAATTAAGAACAGATCTAAAGGAAGATATAAATAAAATTCAAGAAGATGTAGACAAGATAAAAAAAGAAAATTTAACGATAATAAAAGTTCAAAATAGGACGGACTCTAGAATCACAAAACTGGAAAACCTGAATCAAAAACTCCAACAACAGACAGAGCTCCTTGAAAATAGGGAATTGGAATATCAGATAAGACTGAGAAACTTACAAGAGTCAAAAGAGGAAGATGTAAAACAATTATCCATAGAATTACTGGCAGAATTGCTGGATGTGAGTGGAGAAATTATAGGGCAAGACCTTGATAGAGCTTACAGGGTGCCATCAGAATTTGCAAAGAAAAACAAAACACCAAAGGACGTGGTCATAAGCTTTTGCAGAAAAAGTACACGAGATGAAATATTAAAAGAAAGTGCCAGAAAACCAATCTACTATAAGGATCAAAGAGTAATAATTATGAAAGAAGTTACAAAACAGACTCTGGCCAGACGCAGAAAATATAACTTCCTAACAGAGGAACTAAAAAGGAGAAAAGTAAAATTTAGATGGGAGAAATTGGAAGGGATTACAGTCACTTGGAATGAAAATAGATATTGGATAAATTCTGAAGAGAAAGCGAAAGCATTTTTTACAACTCACATCAAACCCACGAAACAAGACACCCAGAAACAACCACAGGAAAACAGGAAAGATATACAAGAAAAAAACCAAAAAAGGTTCCCAGAAGAAGGAAACCTAACAGAAGAAGAAGGGAAGGTCTCCGACACACAAACAGGAGTCATAGAAAGAGATCAGAAAAGACTGCGAGAATTCTCCCCTGAGAATTATAAATTACTGATGCCCCAGGACATTGTTCACTGGGAGATGCAAGAAAACATAAATGAATAAAGATATAAGGATTTACTCAAATAATATAAATGGATTGAACTCTCCGAACAAAAGGAGACGAATCTTCAATCATTTGAGGCAAAAGAATTATGATATAGCTGGACTACAAGAAACCCACATAAAAAGCAAACATGTAAAGCACCTGGAAAACGAAAAATTGGGAAAATGTTTCTACGCATCTGCGGAAAATAAGAAGAAGGGGGTCGTGTTATATATCAAGCCTTGGCTGTTACCTACACAGAGTTTTAGAGATGAAGAAGGAAGATTTATTGGTGTAAAAATTGAAATAAAGAAACAAAAGATTTTAATTTGCAATATTTACTGCCCAAACGGTCCGAAACAAAAATTCATGAAAGAACTCAAAAGAAATATAGATAATCAAGAGTTTGACGATTTAG